GTATTGCATTGGGGCGAAAAACGATGTGTAGTTTTCTCCTGATTTGCACGTTTTTAGATCCCCTGTACCTTAAAAAGAAAAGAGGAGAAAAAAACAACCTTGGTCCTCCCTTGCGCCCCAGCGTAGTCGATTCTCCTAATGACATTTGATTTATTTAAACTAGTCAAATAGGATTATCAGTTTTACACTGGCTGATAAATATAATTTATGATAATAAAATACATTTAGGTCCACTCATTACTGCGCTAGCTTGAATAGATGAGTCGACCTCGTAACATGTAAAAAACTAACTCAAAAGGCCTGGTTTTCTTCAGTCGTCTTACAATTTGCTGATTGGGTAGAGGCTGCTGGCCTTGGAGTTTGGGTTACTTTGTAGGCGTAGATTCTAGATAGTGGTTATAAGCATGCGGTGTGATCTCATGTCGCGGGATGTTCTTGTGGCTGAGTATGTCTCTATAGCGTACATACCAAGTGCCAACTTCCATATTTAGTAGTGCTTTATTCTGAAATCGTTGAATATGATAATGTTACTGTTGGCACAATCCCAGAGTTGTAGAATGTCACCTATTTAGATCTCAACTATTTTATTTCAATAAACGATTGTAAATCAAGATTTTATTTTATATTCATAGATGGGAATTCCTTCCAAACAACCAATAAAGTTGTCGATATTTCAAGTCAAATTCTTCCTCTTTCTTTTTGATTTTTTCTAATTTAATTTTTTATGTGTGGTTTTTAGTGATCGTTACTTGATGATTATTTGGAGGTCGTGAGATGGGGTCTGGTGTGACTTAGGTTTTAGAAAAACATTTTCTTTGTCATGCCAACGTTTCGATCTTTATTGAGATCATCTTCAGGGCTCAAAGTGTTTTTTCCGTGTAGATGTGTAATTCATTCTCAACACGACAGACAAGAATGACACATCTACACGGAAAACAAACACTTTGAGCCCTGAAGATGATCTCAATAAAGATCGAGACGTTGGCATGATAAAGAAAATGTTTTTCTAAAACCTACGTCACACCAGGCCGCATCTCACGATTTCTGAATAACTGTATTGATACATAGAAAATAGTAAACCTAAATAATTTAATAGATGAAATTAACGTGTAAAGATAAATTAAAGTTTTAATTATTTAGAATGTTTTGATAATAGTTTTTAGCAGTTTCCGGCAAAAATCCAACATGGCAGAGAAATCTTTTTCTTGCCATCCGACAGGAATGACTTCTGAATCAACGACGTATAAACTTTTTTAATATCAGGTTTAGCGCCTTTTTTTAGTACATTAACGCGTTTCCACAAGTCCGCAAGTGTTATTGAATGTGGACTTATACTGGATAAAACCTGGATCATCTTTGTAAACTTTTATCACAGAACCCTTTGTAATTGGAAAATTTACTTTTAAAATAGAGTCACAGGTGTGCTGTAAGTCTATAAAGTACGAATGTTCCATATTAACTAGCTGATACGCCATGGCACATAGAATCTTTGGAAAAATCGTATGTCCCAAACTTAGACCAGTGCCGTTTATGAGGAACGCAACAAACCAGTTTTAAAGAGGTTTGGCACTTAGAACATTATTGGCGATGGCACATAGAAAATGTTAAGAAAAAAAAAAGTATTGAGGAACTTTGCCACTTAGAACGTTTGGAATCCCCCCCATCAATTTACAAAAATTGAATACATAAATTAAAAAAAGATTTGATAATATTAGGAATCATCCTTATAAATAAAGGAATATGGAATGTTGGATATTAATATAAATTGTAATGGAGTAAAATTGTATTGGAATATTGTATATTAACATAACAAAATTGAAAATTCATTAATTGAATTGTGCGAGCACAGCTTTGAACGGTTTTTAAGAAACTGAACAAACAAATAAAAACCAAAGCCTTAGCTGAACTCTGACATGGCACAAATTTAAATTTTAAGGCAATTGGTTTGTCTACCGATTTTCTTTTATGCCGTAGAGACGTCACGTATGGGGATTTCTGATCGTTTGTTTGACGAGAAGGTATCGACTACTTGAAGATTAATTTTATCTTTTAACAGTTAATTTTGTTCTCAGTTTTTAAAATTTTGTAAAATTAAAAAATAATTAAGGTCATTTAACTACAAATTTTTAAAAACCCAATGTAGTAAGTAGATACCTGCAATGAAAATGTTTTGTTTGTTGTTTGTTTATAAAAAAAATTGTTAATTTGTTTGGAAAATGGTGACCTAGAAGCCTGGGGCGAAAGCTTGGCATATTTGAAATTTTGCTTTTATTAATTAAGGTTTTTAGTTGAAATAAAAAAGTCAGTGTCACGAGCGGGATTCGAACCCATGACCTTCGACTTGATACGCCGCTACTCTACCACTTGAGCCATCGTGACCTCTTTTTTAACTCAACTAAAAACCTTAATTTATTGAGTGATATTATTAATGATTGGCGGACCACGAAAACTAGTGAATTTAATTTTGTTTTTATGTTCTCCCTTGACCTTAATGATAATACGACACATCAAATTAATCGTTTATTTGGGTCTTCCATGTACAGTCATGGGTCAACTTAAATAAATGTTTTATTGACGACTGTAAAAGTCGTCGCTTTATTGAACCCCCCCCCCTTGTTATACACCAAATCATCACAAATTCGTACTGCTACAACATTCTGATGTCGATTTCAAACTTTGGCCTATCAGGTCATTGTTTTTTATGCACTCGTCTTAATTTAGTGTTCTCTTTCTTTCAGAATAGTAATAGATTTTGGGATTTCCACGGGAAAAATGAATGTCATCCCGTTGAACATCTAAATGTTGTTGAAAAACCTTCCAAACTGTTACGAACAACCGACATTCTTTTTGTACGTGCTTTAGCATGTGGCACAGTTGCCAATTTCTTAGCGTTCTCCTAAGAGTCCATGAGAATGTGACACCAGCGGAAATGAGTAAAAACGCAATTTTACCCTTGATAGAAACCTGTAATTTGTTATCAACTTGTCTTATACTTTGGGAGTCAGGTGTTCATTTTCGACCGGAGGGGTCGGCGTTTTTACCGAAGGCTTTGCACCCTACAATTCTCTCTTGGGCTAGGAAAAACAAGTAGAAAAAACTGACCGTAGAGCGGACCGATTCCTACCTCTCTCCAGGATGAGTCTTTAATGTCCTTCCTATTCACCAAAAGGAGAAAAACTAGGCCTCGAGGATATCCAAAGGTGGAATGTTTATAACGCTCGTGATTTCCCGTTGGAGAAAGGTATTCGACTTTATCAATCCTTGCATCATACGCAAATGTTTGAGTATATAAGAACCATTAGAAGTGTAAAGGTCAACCTCTGAAAACCGAACCAGTATTTTTAAACTAGAGATGTTCAACATTTCATCTTGAGTTTGATCTTACCTTAACAAGTAAAATAACCAAGACTTTTGGGGCAGTTGGATCACAAATTAGACCATCATGGTCCACTTCGTTCTGTTTCTTTAAGGTAGAGCCTTTTTTATTATATTAAATGTACAAAATATAGTAGGAACGATTTTACTGTCCAGCATATGTTCCTTGTCAATTCCAAGCCATTCCTACATGCATGTTTATCAAATTGTCAGAGTAGTTTAACTTCTAAGACTGTTCATCTTCGTTGTTCATATTGAAAGTCAAGTTTATTGTCATTAGATTCATGTAATAAAGTATTAAGAGTCATTAGAAAATTGTAATTTTTTGTTTGTATTCGTCGTGTTTTGAATTGCCTGCCTGCAGAACTGTCGTATTAGATAAATATGGTAATGTCGAATTGATCAGAATCCCGTATTATTGACACATAACCGGGGGATCCTTGACGAGAGAAATGAAGAAATTAATCAAAGAAGGGATAATTAATTAACGCAAGTTGCGGTACATGGATAACAGTGGAATCATCCAACTTGTGCTTAATATTTTCCTGCTTCGAAAGGTTTGTCACATTGACAACGGAAATTGAATTTTCGTGAAGTCCATTTTCATTTTACGCAAGATAAAGTTATTGAAAACAGTAATTGTTTTAAAAACTAAAAAAATAGTATTATTATCGTATTTTGAGTAAAAGTACAAGTACTTATCAGGTAATTATATTCCATTGTTTGGCCTGTTCAGTGTATGAAGTTTCCCATGATTCCAAAATAATGGAGTCGTCTCAAAGTTTTAGAGTAATTTTGGTATTTTACTTGCTCAGTGAAGAGAATCAAAAACTTTTGAACCTGAACTGACAACTTATTTTACCTCTATTGCGTGTCTTGTGTGTTGTATGATGTCAGACCCTGATTTTTAAAGTACATACTTATAATCGTGTACTATGCAGGTCAACTGTCTTCTTCCGGTAGCTTTTACTTTTTCGAGTAAAATTAAGCCATTGTTGTCATGAATAATCGATCTCACGATCAGTCATCCTTCCGATTTGGAGTAATTGGGAGTTCTCACGGTTAACGACCGGAATGAGAACATTTTAACTTTCAGCTAACAAGTTACGAAAAATAAGGATATTGAATTGGAGAAGGTTGTTAAATAAATGTTTTTTCTACCGTCGAGACCTAGTTTTGCAGGCGCGGTTACGCAGCAAGTGAACTTTGCCAGATCGCAGTTCTCTGCAAATCGATTTTATAATGGAATTCTCAAGACTTCCGCAGCATCCATGGGGTTATGACACGATCTCATATTCGTAACTGTCCGAAGATTAATATCCTCAGGCCCTATTAGAGTTTTTATGTACAATTTTAAAATTTGGCTAGGACTTGAATCGTAAGATAAAAGTATGGGTTTTTGGTGGTGAAGCTAATCTGGCAAAAGGGTCGAAATTCTTTCGGCAATAGACCATAAAAGACTTGATACGTAACAATCTGGTGCAAGGTCTCTAAATCGATTCGATTCGTGTTTTAAACCAACGGGTCATAAAGACAAACTGTAATAAACAATTTTTTGAGTATCTTCCTTCCGACCCGAAAAAACCGTTCAGCCTGTTTCGTGCAATTTTTGGGTTTTTACTTACCAAAAATAAGCCCAAATATCCCCTCCGGTTCGAACACTTGACACAGCACAACGAAAATCAAACTGTCAACTCGGACTGGCAGCACATCGCTTACTCGCTGCCCGGTGCCGACTGAAGGTGCAACACCTCAATCCCTTCCACGATGTTGCTTCCACCTCTCCTCGTGGAGAAGAGGACGCCATTGCATAACAAGAGATTATCCGGGGATTTCGACGAGCGGTCAAGTAAGTAGTCTGTTTTAGGGTTGATCTAAATTTTACGATTCGTTAATGACTTGACAAAGAAAAAAGCATATCTGAAGTGTGTTGTATCTTGTATTTGCTTTCCTTCGGCCTGGAAAACCTTTCGTTGGGTCGTTACTTACAAATCATTCTCGAAATCATTCTACTTATAAAACCTGGCACTAGAGCGCCTAGCTTGTGAGATTTCTTCTTAAAATCTGCGGGGTGATGAACCTGTTCTTGACTGTTAACTAGGATGTTTTGGTTTGTTTAGCCATTTATTAATGCTTTAAAATTTTTTATGGTAAGGGTGTTTTTGAAAAAAAAAGCCCATTTGTAAGTATGTTAGGTTCGAATGCAGGGTCGCTGGATTCGAACCCGGGACCTTTACCTTACAGTGATGAGCTCCGTGTCAATGCGTAAGCCGTTGCGGCCACCGACGCCCCCCTTACCGGTTGTTTAATAATTGTTGGATTCATGAGGAACGGTCAAGGGTGAGGTAGTTTAGAAAAACACCTTTTTCTTTGTTTTTTTGCCGATGTTTCGACCTTTATTCGGGTCATCTTCAGTGCCTGGGAGAATTACAAAAGATACATTGATTGGAAAAATACAATACAGGTGTAAATAAATCCTTGATAACCAAGTATTTCATACTCACATAAAGTGTGGTGCTATTGTTCAGGAGAATACGAATTCACGTTTCAGAACAATTTCACACAACACTAATGTGACACCACAAGAATGAGAACATTTGTGAGTATGAAATACTTGGTTTTCGAAGTTTATATTTACATCTGTATTGTATCTATCCAATCAACATGTCTTTTGTAATTCACCAAGACCCCGAAGACGACCCGAGTAAAGCTCGAAACATAGGCAAAAAAAATGAAAAAGGTGTTTTTCTAAACTACCTCATTCTTGACCGCTTCTTACGAATCCAACAATTATTTAATTCAAAAGTTTTTTTTAAATCAATTTTTTATTTTTATTGTTTTACAATTTTATGCTATGTACTATGATCAATGTGCATTTAAACGTATAATTTTATTTACATGTGTATATAATTTCTTTTAGCGCCGGACTAAAATAAAATTCGCATGACACAAAATAGTATAATTAATTGTGCTACAATTAATTTTACATTTTACACTTTATATATTAATAATTTCATTGAAACTGTTCAATTTTAAACTACATACTTTCATAAAATATGATGTAGATTATCATCCATCAAGGTTTAAGGAATTAATCTAAATTGATTATGTTCTACAATCCAGACATTTTCTCACAGATTCCAAACTGGATCAGCTATTTGCGGATTGAAAAAATCAATATTTAATTAACGACGTTGACTTATTTTACGAGGTAGCTCAGAAGTCGGGTTTCGAAAGGCGATACGTTATTCGTTTCCGTTTCATGTTATTTTACATTTGAAAGAAAATTGTTTAAAATGAAGTTTTTGTTTTCGTTTTGAACCTGAGGCATAACTCGGCAAGCATTAATAATCATCAATTAAATTTATTATGGTGAATGGTGTGGACAAAGTCCGATGTCGGGCAGGGATGTTAAGCCATTTACTATTTTAGTTGTTTCTAAATGGCCTATCTTCTTATTTCGAATGTAGAGTTAAATGGTTATTGAAGATTATTCTTCTTGTCCGCGAAGGACTATACAACTATGGAATTAAATTCAAAAAGTAAAAATACTTTAAGAGATTATTGCTGTTTCGGCGGTTTTTATTGTGTATTTATTTTATTGTGCGTTCTTTGCCGCAACAAAGCGTAAATAAATAGGATTATAATTTATTTATTGAGTTTAAGCTTTTTTAATTTTAATAGGTTTTGTTTGTACTTGTGATTCCAAGTTTAACAAAACCGTACTTTTCTTCTGAAGTCCCACACATAAAACGGTTTTCAATTAAAAATAATACAATTAATTAAGGTTTTTAGTTGAGATAAAAAAGTCAGTGGCGCGAGCGGGATTCGAACCCACGATCTTCGGCTAGATACGCCGCTGCTCTACCACTTGGGCTATCGTGACCTCGATCCACTCGGACACGGCGACATCCACATTTCTCGGCGACAAATGAAATCCAATCCGATTATACATTTGAAAAATGGCAAAAAGGAGGGAAAATTCAAAAGGTGCGGTTGAGATGGGAAGAGTGTCCGAGTGGATCGAGATCACGATAGCTCAAGTGGTTGAGCAGCGGCGTATCTAGCCGAAGATCGTGGGTTCGAATCCCGCTCGTGCCATTGACTTTTTTTATCTCAACTAAAAACCTTAATTAATTGTAATATATTAATTGTTCAAGCAAACCACGAAATTAGTGATTTTAATTAAAAATAGTCTTTCTTGATAATTCCTTAAATTTTTTTTTTTACAAAAATATAATTTTTTGTGAGATTATCATTTTAGGCTACACCTGAACGCATGTTTTCTTTTTTAAATTGATTTTCTTTCTAGGGTATCTTGTTCCCAGCCTTTCCCTGTTATTTTCTATCGGCACTTATTTTCCAGTTGGAATTTCATTGTCGCCACTATATCGACGTTATTTTCTTGTTCACGGCTGCAACAATGTGCCAGGCCTTCTCCTACAAAATAAATTAACATTCTTGCTCTTAGGCCGGCCTCGCACCCGTTATAATTACGGCTAAGTGCTTTAGGACCTGCCACAACCTGGTATCTGTGGTAATTTCTTCTTTGCTCTACATACCCATTTTGAAAACGGAAAACACAAACAGTCTAATTCGGATCATTTAACAGACTGAGAGAATCATGCCGTCCTAACTTTAAACATTCACCGACTCTAGAAACGTAGGGCATTTTCATTTATATCGTTCAAATAATATATCCAGAGGATCCTAACAGTCTAACAAACAAGATTGTACATTTTTCAAGCCTAATTCTTCTGGTCTACATAACTAAGCATATTTTAGTATTGGGTTGTCCGGAAAATAATGCAGGATTTTGGTATTAAACAAAAAAAAAGAAACTAGTTACTTTAAAGCAATGTTCTTTAATCAAAATAATTNAACGTAAACAGAATATTTTATATAGATTTTTTTTAATGAAAACTTAAAATCCTGCATTATTTTCCGGACAACCCGATAGTACGTGTATAATTTTCAATTTGGGCATCATCTATCGTGAAATGCCCTCAGGAGGACATAGGACATGTCCAAGTACACTGACAGGCAAACAATTCCACCCAACTGATTTTTTTCATTTTCTCGCACTGTTGATTTTATCAAATGATCTATCATTGCTGATCGAATTTAATGCCCTTAACATCTGGAATAAATTGCTATGTTTATAGGATGAGTCATAAAAAATGAAAGCTTATTTATAATTAATTTTATTTTGACAACTTTTGATAGATAGATAGATAGAGCGAGAGAGAGGGGGGAGAGAGACATTGGGAAGGAGAGTTAGATAGATAATGTAGATAGATAGAGAGAGAGAGAGAGAGAGAGAGAGAGAGAGAGAGAGAGAGAGAGAGAAAGAGAGAAAGAGAGAGAGAGAGAGAGAGATGGAAAGAGAGAGTTACTGAGTAAGAGAGAGAAAGAGTGAGTGAGAAAGGGAGTGATAGAGAGACAATTTTTTGTAAGTATTCAAAGTATATACGCTGTATTCTATGGTTTGGTGGACTCCTTCCCAATTCACACTTTGGGTGTTAAACGGAAAAATTCTGCAACACCATTTTGAACCTCATCCAGAGAATTAAAAGTTTTTCCTTGAAGGTAATGAGCCATGGACTGGAACAGATGGTAGTCGAAAGGTACTAAATCTGTATTGTAAGTAGAGTGAGGGAGAAGCTCAATTCCATCCGATTAATAAGTTTGAATTCAAAGGTTCCACCTTCTAGAACGAGTTCATAATGTAATGATTATGCCTTCGTAATTCCAAAATACAGAGAGCATTGTCTTTTTGTCGAATTGCCCTTGTTGGCAACTGCTAGAGAACGCTAATTGCAGTCTAGCCATTGTTTCTTGGTCTTGGGGTTTCTCCATTATATCCAATTTTCATCGCAAGTAACTCTTCTTATGATGAACCGAAGGTTATTTGGGTTTGCAAGGGTTTAGGTGATTTGAGTAGCCACGCACTACTAATTTGTACAACTATTTATTTAAACAAAACACAAGGCAAAACGTGCTCTTTTCTCGCTGCTCAACTTAGCAAGTCCTCTCGCCAAATGCTCTTGAAGCAGTGTTGCCCACTCCCCTCTCAGCGGCCAGGTCAGCTTACAAACAGGGTGTAGCGTCCGGGAAAACTGGCATCCTATCTCGTCCTTCTTGATAATGATGGAGGTTCTTCATCAACTGGTATTTTTGTCGGTGCAGCTGGGTCAATATGTGGATTCTCAGGGTCCGCTAATACATTCCAAGTTTAAGCCTATCTGTCGAAATATTAGTATTCTTATCTTTTATTTAAACCATTTAGGGATGCCTTTAGGGAATTTACGGTGCCTTTCGAAGGATATCGTCTTTCAAATGGACTATCCAAGGAAGCTCACGACCTCGGAAGGCTTGCCTTGCTTTAAGATTGTTGAAAGCAAAGCGTAATTGGCTGCCTAGGCTAGGAAGATCTGGGTTTGGCTTATAGTAGGGCTCTTAAAAACAATCACTAGGAATACTTAATGGAGTACCGTGTACTAGTTCTACGATGGATGCTTGTGCTTCATCATTGAGTGAACACCGTAGTTCTAATAAAACCGTAAGATGGTAGTCCAATCTTTTCAATGAAACCGGTAATTTTTTATGACTCAGCCTATTACCTCTCTGATGCCATGATGAAAATGGTTTGCAAAATATACCCCTGTCGAATAATTTAGTGTAATTTTGTAAAAGGAATTGGTAAATCGGAAACATTTCCTGCATAAATCAGCGCAGGGTCATATAAATCACATACGAAATCATTCAAATAGAAAAGTTTCTCCCTCATCCGGCACCCAGCCCTGACCTCGCTCCTTCAGAGCTGATTTCGGGGCACTGATTACTTTTTGTTGGTCTAATCATTCAAAATTGAAAGTATAACTGATTTTATACTGGTTTCTAATGGTGGTAAATGCTAAAGTACACAGATTTTATAAAAAAACGAACTATATCCAAGGTCGAACAGTTCACCTCAAGATCATAATCAAATATAGTTCGCACTTCTTCCTCATCGGGCACACAGCTCCGGATTAAATCTCGCTCTGACCGAAAATAACATCGATTTGGTAGACCGCAAATATTTCCTGGAAAAATCCACGCAAGGTCACACAATTCAAAATTAAAGAAATTGAGTTGAAATGAGTCCTTCATATGCAGCCCGCCACGACCTAGCACCTTCGGATTGCAGTCGATTCTCACTTTTTGTTCGTACTCTGGAGTTGTATGCTGCTCCGTTATTAAAACAGTTCATCGACTAGGAATTCCTATACTTTTAAAATATACAACTCAATTGACTGTTGCACATTAAACCGTTTCATGTCCAATTCCTGCATCTCGACATGAAAAAAAATTCTTTTAATGATAGCAAATTATTAGTTCATAAACAAGTAGGTGTGGTAAATTACACAGTACAATCTCAATTATTTTTAGATTGTGGAATACAGGAAGCTTATCATGTTTACATTTGTAGTCGGAGTTAAATTACCATATTGTTTTTTTCTCGAGACTACAACATGCGATTGTGAAGTTGGTCAGGGTTTGTTATCATTGCAAGCATTTTTTTTATTGATAATCTCTTCGGGATAGTTTCGCTGTGTTTCATCTGGCAACAGTGAATATTGCGAATAATTGGTAAATCCTAAGCAATCTGTAAGAATAGGCTATTATAGATGACATTGCAACTGAAGAGATTTTAATGCTGACATATAATCACTCTTTTATAGCCGATAATTTTGTGTTTCTTAACAATCGTTTTATTTCTGGTTTGATATTGCGAAGGTATTTGACTCGGGAGTCGATCCCCTTCGAAAATTGCCGGCCGATGGCCAATTGGTGTGCCGAGAGGAGAATCGGAGGAGCGTCCCACGAGCGGTCAAACCCGGTCCCGAATCGCATGGATACCGTTGCCTTGGCCCAATTATCTCCGGAGGAAATGGCCACGTTTTCAACAGAAATATTACTCCGGTGGGATGAAATCAACTCGATATCGATTCCAGGTCGCCGTCGTCCCAGTCACAATCCAAAGTTATCATACTGGAGACATTTCTTGTAAAATCTGACATTAGGGTTTCACGGATTTCAAAGAAAAATAAGAACTAAAGCCTTGAAATGTAATCGTGACAATAAATTAAAAATATATATAAAATATGACAGATATATGCTCTTAAAGGAAATTATGAATGCTTTATTTTCCCGGTAACGAAACCAATTTAGCAAAATTAGAGTGGGTGTTGGGAGTTGGTGTGCGAATCGGCGAACTCATGCTGGACGTCATTGGGTCACTAGCGAAATGCAAAACACAGTTCCTCACTAAAGACGGCGGAGCGTCGAAAAGCGTTAGATAGTTTAACAAATCCGAAACCGTTATTGGGTCACTAGCTAAATGTAAATCACAGTTCCTCACTGAAGATGGCACAGTGCTGAAACGCGTTTGATAGTTTAACAAACCCAGAACCTTCATTGGGTCACTAGCTAAATGCAAAACACAGTTCCTCACTGAAGAAGGCGCAGTGCCAAAACGAGTTTGATTGTTTAACAAACTTGGAACCGACATTGGGTCAATAGCTAAATGACACAGTTCTCACTGAAGATGGCGCAGTGCCGAAACGCGTAAGATAGTTTCACAAATCCGGAACCGTCATTGCGTCATTAGCTAAATGTAAACACAGTTCTCACTGAAGATGGCGCAGTGCCGAAACGCGTAAGATAATTTCACAAACCGGAACCGACATTGCGTCATTAGCTAAATGTAAACACAGTTCTCACTGAAGATGGCGCAGTGCCGAAACGCGTTTGATAGTTTAACAAACCCGGAACCGTCATTGGGTCCACTAGCTAAATGACACAGTTCTCACTGACGCTTTTGATAGTTTAACAAACCCGGAACCGTCATTGGGTCACTAGCTAAATGCAAAACACAGTTCTCACTGAAGATGGCGCAGTGCCGAAACGCGTTTGATAGTTTGATAATAATTCATAATAATGTTTTATTAAACATAAAAAAAAGGAAAAAAGACAATTTAGATTTTAAAGCATTTAAGGCCATGGATCTTGGATCCGTCTGCGTTTGATAGTTTAACAAACCCGGAGCCGTCATTGGGTCACTAGCTAAATGCAAAGCACAGTTCTCACAGAAGATGGCGCAGTGCTGAAACGCGTTTGATAGTTTAACAAACCCGGAACCGTCATTGGGTCACTAGCTAAATGCAAAACACAGTTCTCACTGAAGATGGCGCAGTTTAATAGTTTAACCCGTGAGTGTGGGCGGATCCAATAAGTGACCCAATGCCGTTTGAATATGAATGTGGTAAAATGGTGAAACCAAAATAGCGAAAATAGAAAGATCAGGGTGATCAAAGTGTCTACATGAAGTTAAAATCGTGCATACGTACTAAAAAGTCTATCACACATCTATTTTAATAGGATAAAATATTAGTTCTTATAAAATATAAAAAAAGTTTAGAACAGTTTCTTGACTATAATTAGATGTAGAATTAGTGGAAGTGTGTTTCTAAGAGCTGTTGTATCCTTTCTTCTGAGCTTATAACACCACCAACGAGTCCTAGTTCATCAAGGAACTTGATTATAACGCCCGGTTTCAGTAGTTGAATCTCTTCTACGGTTACATTGTACGTCTCAAAACACTTTCTCCTGCGGGCAAGTGAAGCAGCACAGTTCATTAGTAGGTGTGTTGTTGTTTCGTCTGCTCCTTTGCAGAATCTACACTTGCCTTGTTATGTTATACCAATCTTCTTCAGATTCCCATTCAGTCTGCAGTGTCCTGTTAGGATTCGAAGTTTTTTCCAAGCTTCTTTTGATGCGTTCTGTTCTTTCCTTCCAAAATTTGCTAGCGGTTCTTGAATTGTTTGTGTCCAATGAGTGAGTTCCATTGTTCCCTCATTTTCTTTTTATCCTTCTGCCCGGGGTGCTCATTGATAGTGTGGATTCCTAGGCCACACAAGAACTTTGGCTATGATTATCATTATGAATTAATAATCTTTTTCAATGGCGTTACATTATTAATAGTTCTGAAATTTAGACAAATAAAGGAAATGCAACATAGAGCTGTCCAACATCTTCACTCACCGACACACGCACACATACAAAGGCTTTAATGACGGAACCATTTGATTTTCTCTCTCTTTTTCACCCCTGAGTGAGAAAGCTACACACAGTGAGCCCCTTTTCTGCACGGGAAAAAGAAATCCGATCCAACACTGTAGAAATTGATACAATAAAAAGAATGGTGTTAACCTAAAGTGAAATATTGTTCAATTATTTCCACCAGATAAAATTAAAAAGAAAAATAACTATAATAAAAATTCTTTGATCGTTCGTTGCGTACTGGAATTTAATTTGATAATCTAGTTGACAGATTTATTTTTATTACATCTTATTTTTTAGTATTATCATCAACTAGTAATGATTAATTATTGAAGTGCTTGATAAACAGGAAATTTCTGATTGCAAAGTATGTTCCACTACCCACTTTGCTTTCGGTCGTTACGACTTAGTCCCGTCGACTGAACACGCTCTTGTTGCGTCGAGAAACAGCAAGTTTTAGCGGACCCAAAGTCACATATTGGGTTGTCCGGAAAATAATGCAGGATTTTAAGTTTTCATTAAAAAAAATNGAGTATGGGAAATTATTTTGATTAAAGAACATTGCTTTAAAGTAACTAGTTTCTTTTTTTTTTTGTTTAATACCAAAATCCTGCATTATTTTCCGGACAACCCAATACTATTACTACCAACAGATTAATTTTTATCCGTTCTCTTTTTCAGGATGAAAACAGAAGATAATTACATAGTTGGCATGTGCCAGGATATGTGTCCAGTCAGTGAAGTTAAAATGTGAGTGGTCTTATGGTTTGTCATTCACACATCAGTTTAGTTCGTTTTTAAAAATTAAAAAATATATATTTTATTATACTTAATATTTATCATGATTTGTCTTGTAATTAAGGTATCGACTTTTCTAAAACCAAATTAAACTTTTTTTCCAACAAGTACAAATTCAAAACAAACTGATCTTTTTCAAACAAAATAAATACAAATTCAGACCAAAAACTTTTTTTTAACAAAATAGAAATTTTTCAAAGAAAATAGAATTTTTTCAGAAGAAATTGACCTTTTTTAAACAATTTTTTGCCAAACCAAATTGAACGTTTTTCAAACAAAAGAAATTCAGACCAAAATGATCTTTTTTTAAACAAATTAAAATTGTTTCAAACTAAATTGAACTTTTTCCAAACAATACAAATTCAGACCAAACTGATCTTTTTTCAAACAAAACAGAATTTCTTCAATTGAAATTGACCTTTTTTTAACATTTTTTTTTTCAAATCAAATTGAACGTTTTTCAAACAAAATAAATTCAGACCAAACACTTTTTTTTAACAAAATAGAAATTTTTCAAAGAAAATATAATTTTTTCAGAAGAAATTGACCTTTTTTAAACAATTCTTTTTTACAAATCAAATTGAACGTTTTTCAAACAAAAGAAATTCAGACCAAAATGATCTTTTTTCAAACAAATTAGAATTGTTTCAAACCAAATTGAACTTTGTTCAAACAAAACAAATTCAGACCAAACTGATCTTTTTTCAAACAAAACAAATTTATACGGAAACGATCTTTTTTCAAACAACAAATTTAGACGGAAACTGATCTTTTTTCAAACAAAATAGATTTTTTTAAGAAGAAATTGACTTTTTTAAACAATTGTTTTTCAAACCAAATTGAACGTTTTTCAAACAAAAGAAACTCAGACCAAAATGATCTTTTTTCAAACAAAATAGAATTGTTTCAAACCAAATTGAACTTTGTTCAAACAAAACAAATTCAGACCGAACTGATCTTTTTTCAAACAAAACAAATTTAGACGGGAACTGATCTTTTTTCAAACAAAATAGATTTTTTTCAGAAGAAATTGACTTTTTTAAACAATTGTTTTTCAAACCAAATTGAACGTTTTTCAAACAAAAGAAATTCAGACCAAAATGATATTTTTTTAAACAAAATAGAATTTCTTCAATCCAAATTGACCTTTTTTAAACAAAACTTTTTTCCAAACCAAATTGAACTTTTTTCAAACAAATACAACAAATTCAGACTAAACTGAACTTTTTTTAAACAAAATATGTTTTCAAAACAAATTGACTTTTTCAATCAAAATAACTTTTTTTCTAACAAATTCAAATTCAAACCAAACTACTTTTGTGAAACAAAATTGATTTTTATTTTTTAAATCAGATTGAACTATTTTTCAAATAAATACAAATTCAAACCACTATTTTTAATTTTTTACAAACCCCACTCAGTTATATATTAAAAAATGAGACACTTAATAAATAAATGGTAAAACGTAACTAAAATAAAAATTAAAAATTGTAATAAATAATGACAAAATAAAATTCTGCAATGAAGCATGTGAAAATCTTAATCGAAATGGGAAAATATTAATAATAATTAATAAAAATAAACACCATTCACACTATTAATCCTCATTAATTTATAATTAATTAATTAGTACAAGAGAATGCAGTAAGTCTAAACCATTAGCCTGTAAATAAACGCAAACTTGCTTCAAAAACATTGTAATTTGTGAAGCCTTGATGGAAATTTGTCCATAGGTTCATCGCCATCATTTATAATAATGTAATGTACAACAATAATTCTGAATTGACCTTTAGGTTCAATTTATATAATTAATATTTTTTGTAAATAATTTTGAATAGGGATTACAATCGCGGTCCGTTATTTCCCACAATCGCACAATCAGTGTCGTTAAATTTCGAATAGGTTTATTTATTTATTTTTTTTTTTTAACAAGATCGGCTTTGTCGGTCTAGGACTAGTCGGATGGTTTTTTACCTAGTTGAGTCCGCCCTGTCTCGCTTTGTTTCTGGGGTCGGACGCGGTTTTTGACTGTGAGACAACGGACACAATATGATCAGGGATGATTGAAACCGCTAGTTGAAAATTTTAATTTTTCTTGGCGATATTTGTGTTTTTCAAGCTGGCAGATTTTTTGTCAGTTGTCAATTACTAAGCTTTAAAATGTCTGATATGCAGTTTTTTTCAGTAAATTGTTAGCCATGACGTGTAGCTTTGGACTGAAGTGTTGGTGTTTTGTTCTGTATTGCAGTATTATAAAAGATTAATGGCCCTTTTTTGGTTTTTAATTTAGTGGAACCCTGAAGGCCTTTAACACGGCAAAATGGCCTGATTCGTCTCACTCTTATAATCGCGCACGCGGAAAATCGGTGAAAGGGATTATCTTATGATGAGTAAAAGCGAACGGGTTACCCGATTTCCCCGTCCTGGCGATTGAATGAAAAGCTTGGGAAAATTCGACAAACTGAATGGGGGTCATGCGTGAAATTTTTGAAAACGACATTTTAGTACACTCGGCACCAAAGAAGCGTGTGACGTTCTACTTTGATGTATTTTCCATTCGAAAAGGTTTTGAAGCATGCGAAAACAATAGAAACGCATAATGCAATTATTATTTCAAGTAGGATTACGCCAATTTCGTTTAGGGGAATTATTTTCATATAAATCAGCCTTTTCCACGTATAATTCAATTTCTGAACTTGAAATTTTCAAACTAAATATAAATTTTTAAAAATTACATTGAATTTCTTTCATATCGAATTGGATTTTTTCGGGCAAATACAAATTCAAACCTAACAGAACTTTTCCAGATGAAACCGACTTTTTTCCATTCAAATTGGACTTTTTTCAACCAAATACAACTTCAAACCGAACTGACCTTTTTTTCAAACCAAAGTGACTTTTTTTCCAACAAAACCTAGTTTTTGTCAGACCAAGTTGAACATTTCCAAACTAAAGTGGTCTTTTTTCAAACGAAATAATTTTTTTTTCCAAACCAAATTGACCTTGTTTCAAACAAAATAGAATTTTTTCAAATCAGATTGGCCTTTTTTCAAACAAATTAAAATTCAAACCAAGCTGAGTTTTTTTTCAAACAAAATAGACTTTTTTCAAACCGGATCTATTTTCTTCAAACAAAAGAGATTTTTTTTCAATCAATAGGACCTTTTTCCAACCATATACAACTTAAAATCGAATTGATATTTTTCAAACAAAACCGATTTTTTCCCAATCAAATTGGACTTTTTTCAACCAAATACAACTTTAATTCGAACTGAGCTTTATTTGAAACAAAGTGACTATTTTCCAACAAAACCTAGTTTTTGTCGGACCAAATTGAACGTTTCCAAACAAAATGAGTTTTTTCACACCAAATTAACCTTTTTTTTACATTTTTTTTTTCAAACAAAGCGACTTTTTTTCAAATAAAACAGAAAACAGATTTTTTACAAAACCAAATTGTACTTTTTTTCAAATAAATATAAATTCAAAACAAAATGAACTTTTTTTCAAACAAAACCGATAAAAAATGGCCTTCTTTCAAACAGACAAATTCAGACCAAACTGAGCTTTTTTGAACAAAGTAGAATTTTTAGAACGAAATAGACCTTTTTTTCAAATTCACCTTTTTTCAACAAAATAGAACTTTTTCCAAACCATTTCTATTTTTCAAATCAAATTGGAATTTTCCGAGATGATATCGAACTTTCTAAAACGTACTTATTCCCGTCCAGCATTATAATTTTTGCAAAACAAATTTATATCTTCAAAATCCTATCTAATCTTTAAATACTAAGTTTACTCATAAATAATAAGTAATATAATTTTTACCTTTCAAGTTTAACTTAAATCAAGGATTTTAACAAATCAAAAGTTATGCTTGCACAGTTGCTTAGTTGCTCAATTTTATGTTGATCATAATTTACATTATTACTCTTTAATACTTTACGCATTACTTTAGTACTTATTAATTTAATTTTAATCCAATTTAATAACTTAATTTAACAATTTATGAAGACAATAATTTTGTTTTAAATTTGTTCACCTCTTGTGAGGGTGCATGATTATGACAGGCCACCCACCAATGAATGATTGCTATTTATTATCGATGTTAACTTATTAAATGTTTTTTTATTGAATTGAATTTAAATTCACATTTGTTCCATGCTTATTCCTACAAGCATGCAATAAAGTGCTACGTAATTTGAATAAATTTCAGGAGGATCTCAAAAAATTTAGTTCACGATTTAGAAAAATCGCACGGAGAGTTAATCAAATGCTACAAACGGTCTGCAGCTGGGACGGATATAAGCAATCCAAAAACCTTAAGACCGCCTAATGTCCTTGAAGAAACAGTCCATTATTTGTTCAATAAGTAAGCTTTTTATTTCATTTGTGAATTTTGTACCGAATATTATATAATATCTATATGATTTATCGATAGGGTAAACCTCAATTTTCAGTGTATTGATGAACAAGAGTAAACAGTTCCATGTGGTGTACCAGTTCGTCGAGGACAGGCTCAGGGCTGTACGACAGGATTTATTTATACAGCAGCCTTCGCCCGACAAGTGTTTTCCAGTTTTGGAGCCCATTGTCAGATTCTACATCTACTCAGCTTACAGGTGATAAAAAATTACAATTTGTCTTTTTTTTTAATATTAATTTACACTTCTGCAGACTCTCGGAGAGTCCCTTGGAAGATTTCGACCCAGTGCTTAATCACAACCAGCTTCTTGAAACGTTCAAATGGCTGTTGAAACTCTATGACTCATGGAATCATATAAGTCCAGAACGGTTTGAAATTGAAGCTCTTTATTCTGCGTTCAACCTTGGTGAACCATCATCACTTTTTAGATCACTCACTCTGCCATCCCGGCTAAGGTTATATTTCTTCTAAACCACAATTACAACGTTTAATGATTCTTTGTTTCCATAGACGAGGAATAGTACTGACAGCCGAGCAGCTGAGTATATCATGGTATCTAGGAAATTATGCGAAAATTTGTAAATGCTTGTCTGACCTACCAGTCTTGATGGCTGCCTTGATTTATGCAGTCCAACAGCCCTATATAAAAAGGTTTAAATTATCTATGTTCAATGTTTAGAAAAAAAATCTAACTTTAATAAAATGTACAGGCATGCTCTAAGAGTGATGAACTCAGCCTATTCCAGCAAAGTTCTCACTGTTCCATTGTCGTTGATAAAGGATCAGCTGCTGTTCAACGATGAAAGAGACCTCTTGAGTTACCTTTTCGAATGCAGTTTGGAAACGGTGAACGGCGAGACAAAAGCTGTCAAGTTTTCAAAAAATAACGCAATTTCAGAGAGACTTGTAAGCTGTTGTTTAATAGCGTAAACTTCTACAATATTGACTTATGTTATTTCACAGCCTCGTCGCACTCGGCTGGAATCCATTGATCGCCGCCTAGATGAGCAGTACCTGCCGGATCTCTTATTAACAACGCCTTCTTTGTAAAATACCGTACATTTTTTAAATTTTTTATTTAAATTTAAAGTTAAAATATCTTCCAGATAAATAAAAAATGAAGTATACACATCATAGTTACTAATGACACTTTCACTTCTCCGTTTATAATTGGTGGAATACTGTAAAACTTGTACAATAAAATATATTTTTAATTTATTTTAAACGTTTTTATGTTTGTATAATTAACTAATTATACATTTTTTATATTTAAAGTATTAAATTTTTTTTTAAATTTTTTTTTATTGGCCTTATGATCTTGCATATTAGCCATAGTACGAATTCTTGTGTGTTCAAATTGGGNTGTGATAGTGATTATTGTGATAAACGCTGTGGACTGTATGCGACGTGTGCTTGCGTCGGATAGATGTGCACACCCCATCAAAACGTGGCAAGGCGTCGGGTAGTGTCGCATGGCGTAGCATCGGGTAAGTGTGTTCCTGGCTTTAACTCTGTGGTTACTAATAGGGGGCATCAGTATTATTAATATTACCATGCAATTTTCTCTTAGGCGATAATGCTTTAAAGTCAAAAATAAAACTATTTTCTTTATTTTATTAATCTGTACCCGTTTTTATTGGAGATTTTCACATGCTTCAATTACATAATTTTACATTATTATTTTTTTGATTTATATAGGCTCAAATCCACCATGTACATACATACAAATGTGTACCAAGTCGAGGCTATTCGCGTCTTCACACATTCCTGCTAATAAATACATTCACTCTCAACATAACCTTTACACATATTATACAACTATAATAATTGAGGGTCGATGGAGTACTCTTTTACATCATGAAAACATGAAAACCTTCAAAGGGAAAACCAACTCACACTGCTAGGAAAATTTGTGATGTTATGCTGATGACGCTTCATGCTTCAATTACATAATTTTACATTATTATTCTTTGGATATATATAGGCTCAAATCCGCCATATACATGCATACGAACGTGTACCAATTCAAGGCTATTCGCTTCTCACATTCGTGCTAATAATTACATTCGCTATCAACATAACCTTTACACATCATACAAATAACATTTTTGAGGGTCGATGGGGTACTCGATATTTCTTTATCGACCCTCCCACATCAAGAAAGCATGAAAACCTGCATTATTTTACGAATAACCCAAATTTTTGTTGCAAACACGTTTGGAAGTTGTCAGTTTTCTTCTCCACTTAATGATTTGTTAATTTAGTAAATTATTATATAATATTTCGTCCATCAATTCTTTCTCAAATGGAATGTGAATGAACTCCCCCCTCCCCAATTGGTATTATTTTCAATCTTTGATTTTTTTTATTTTATGCTATCTAGTTTAAAACCTACAGTGTAAAAGTTAAGTGAATTAATTCTAACTACCCATTTGGTGTCATGGACTGGGGGTCAGACCATGTTAAAATATTTCTTTTGAACATTTATTCTCAATTAAAATTTTAAGCATGTCCAGGTTTGAACCCGGAACTGCTACCATGCCAAGTACAGTAGGATGCTTTAACAGCTTGGTCATAACCATTCTCTTATCACGAATGCAAAAAATAATGGTCATTTTTTTAAGTAATCTTTTATTGTGTCAGTTTTTTCAGAAAAAAATCCATTTCCCTGCCATGAAACTCAAGGTACGCGAACCAACATTGAGCCCGATGCAAAACATGGGATACAATATTGAGCCAAATGTAAAAATCATAAAGCTCAGTGCAAGACCCAATTCTGCCGTGAAAATCACCACCTGGGACAAAAAAAAAAATAAATGAAAATAAGTCCAGGTCGCAGTCTTTTTTGTAAAACAGGAGAGCTACCCCTAACATAAATCTCTTAGAATTGAAATATTGGGTTGTCCGGAAAATAATGCAGGATTTTAAGTTTTCATTAAAAAAAATCTATATAAAATATTCTGTTTACNGCTCTACCACTTGAGCTATCGTGACCTCGATCCACTCGGACACCAACTTCCCATCTCAACCACACCTTTTGAATTTTCCCTCCTTTTTGCCATTTTTCAAATTGATTACACGACATTTGAAAAATGGCAAAAAGGAGGGAAAATTCAAAAGGTGTGGTTGAGATGGGAAGTTGGTGTCTGAGTGGATCGAGGTCACGATAGCTCAAGTGGTAGAGAAGCAGCGTATCAAGCCGAAGATCGTGGGTTCGAATCCCGCTCGTGCCATTGACTTTTTTATACCAACTAAAAACCTTAATTATTTGTATAAAACATATGTAAAAAATAAAAATTCAAACATGTGAAAATTCAACAAGGTTGGTTTCATATTACCTTTTTAGCAAGCTCCCTTGGATTCTGCGTATTTTTGATGTCGATGATTGTCTCTAGGGCGAAGCGCAGTAGGTGTAGGCTGACTTCCAGGATCGGAGTCAGGGCGAGCAAGAGGGTGATGAGAGAGTGAAAAGCCTGGCCGAGCATCCCGACTATCGCCGCCATCAGAGTTACAAAGCTGTACTCACCGCGCGATATCCCTCTGCCCTCTTGGAAAAGTGCGAGCTGGTCCCTCATTTTTTCCAGATAGCCCCCATTTATAGAATTGGTGTGGGCTGTTCTCATCTTTCTGTCTGACATTCTCTGACCCTCTGTTCAAATATAATCCGTGATCTATATTATTGTTTGTGTTTTATTTAAATTTTATGTGTTATATGTATTGGGTCGATTTGTTTTGTGGTCTGAATAGAGGATGAACTGTATTAGCATATGACATCTTTAAAAATAAGGTGTGTTTATTCATATTGAAAAAGTAATTTTTTTTTTTTTAAATTTAAAGTTCATAAGTTTGTGACTTTCTAATTAACATATCAGAAACATTTTGTTGTTTAATATTACAGGATAAAACAGCTTCAATATTTATCAACCCAAACTTGTAAAAATATTAAATCTTCTACATCTGGAAAAGTCTCTCTGGTTAATTGTAATAACCGTTATCGCATGACATTTTTCTAATTAAATCAGATGAGTGAGGTCAGAGGCAAAATGTAGCTAGAACACCTTTGACTATTCCATCCAATTAGCAGTTTAATCCTGGCAAACAAAAATAATGAGATTAGGCAGAGCTGGATGATTGGAGGTAAAGATAAAGATACAATGACATTTACTGCGTGTAGGGTGATAAATCAGTCGTTTCTGATCATCTTGGTCTGTTGACTCTCGCCATGGTCATCACCAATGAACTCTGGAATGAACCCCAGAACACTTTCAATCGGAAATTTTCGTGCTCAGCATATAGCACTCTTGGTGATCCAAAGTGTATCGAACTATGCCCACAGCAGATCTACAGGTAGTTGCTCCTGATAGATCTTCAAGCGGAGTTATACTGTGGGAAATGGGAATTGCCTCAGAGTTGGACATGGAGCATTCCTGTGAACTCACCCATGACCAATGGAATGAAACCGAAGCACATAGATATCAACCGCTACATGACCCAGCACTGGCCATGGTGCCTTTGCGCTTTATCCGCATGACTTTTGTCAAATCAAATCACCCTTGTGTTTGTGTGGCGGTGGTATGACTCCAGAACACGTTTTCTCAGAGTGCAGCATATACGCGGATCTTCATATGGCTGAAGGAGACTGGTGTACTACATGCAACAATTGATGCTCTCAGTAGAGCGGTGCCAAAAAAGGCTTCTCTGATACAGAAATTCGCCAACGATATTATGAAAAGAAAGCATATCTCACCCCATCATCCTGACCGGACTCTGCCCTGAGGTCTATCATGTACACACTCCACAGCATGACAGTTTCGACAGGAGTGTTGAGTTGGACCATTGAATAAAAGGCTATGTAAAAGCCCATCAAACAGCTAAGGCAAAAAATATCTTCACCAACTTGCACACCACCAACTTTTACATAAAAGTGATAATTTTTTTAAAAATATTGGGTAGGGTGAAAAAAGGGCCCTATGTACCTATCTATTCTGGAACCCTCATGATTGACAACATACAAAACATTCACTTTTTCCTACAAAACTAAACATTCTCTTGACATGAAAATTGCCTTACCAAAGTGGTCATACTGTATACAATCTTGAACCTCATATTCACAAAGATCATGAGCTGATGTCTCTGGTTACATTTGACCAAGTTGGCATGTTTCTTTCTCTGCTTTGCCCATCTTCTGTAGGTGGTTGTTAATAGGGCAGTTACCTGTATATTGTCCTCTAAATTTCTTCAAATTTTGCCTGCTGGATATGCATGAATCTCTCTGCCTCATATTTGGTGCTTTTTTTCAGAAGTTGAGTTTTTCTGTCCAGTTCCAACTTTAGTAACTGTCAGGAGGTCTTGGTACCACAGACGAGAGGGCCATCCCTTTTCTTTAGCTAGTTGGACCGAATGTTTCCTTCAATACCTTCATGTCCTGGAACCCATCTCTGGGAAGCCTTGTTGTGTTCAACTAAGCCATCAAGCAATTTAGGCACTCCCAGACTAGCAGCTAACCATATGCACTTAGTGCTTTTATATCTACCTGACTATCGGAAATTACATCGAACCAGCACCCCTTTTCTTTATCAACTCCTTTGCACAAAGTTGGATGGCACAGTCCTCAACTTTGAATATAGTTGGAAAAGTACTTTGTAATTTAAAAAAAGTGTTATTATATCTTTTACGAATAATTTTTCTGAAATGTAAGTTTCAAGATGAGGATTAGCTCTGAATTTCAAACATCAAGCCAACAAGGCTGGTGTTCCTCAAGGGGGTATCCTAGGACCAATCCTCTACACAGTTTACCCTGCTGACATACTTATACGCAATACAACTTTTGCGGACGACATTGCAATCCTCTCTTCACACTAACTCTATCCTTGCAACAAAAGCAATCCAAGACCACCTAAACTTACCGATATACACACTCGGTGGTGCATTAATATAATGTAAGCTAATCCCCCTCCATCCAACTAAATCCGCTACCTTGGTTCTACTCAGACCGCAGACTTACTTGTAAATGCACATAAAACAAAAAAGACAAAACTCAACCATATGGACAATCAGACTCCTATCTGGATCCAAAACTGCAGTGAATATACAAAATAAATTAACACACTTATTATACTGGATAATATCAGCCAAGCCATTCAACGTCCAATCCTTTTAATTAAAAGTCCTCCATCACATCCTCAATGCTCTGTTCTATGTCACTAACTAAACCATAGCACTGGACATCCCATTCGTAATGATTCCACAACTTACACTTCAAGTTCTCCTTCCATTCCAATCTACTAGCTCAAGCCTCGCTTTCAAGTCCCACCCTAACAATCCTCTATAGCATCTAAGAAGACAATGCCCCATAATCTCCTAACACACCTCTAAACCAATAAACCAACAATCCTAAATAGTAAGAATTCCCATTTCAAAAACGAAATCATTTGTACTTAATTGTTATTGGGCAGATCATCTGAGAGGCGTGCATTTCACTGCCAATGTCCACATCACTCCAAATATGAGCTCTCTTCATTGAGCTCAATCCACCCCATACCAAGCTGGCTACAGTGATCTAGTTTTTGAGCAATTAGTGGAACTGTCCTCAAAACTCTCCAACAATGGCTAGGAGGTGTTGCTTCTAGCCTGGTCATTTTTTACAGATTGAAAAAAAAAAAAAAAATGAAGTCACCACGCTGGTGGCCTCCAACGATTTAGGCGTTACCATGGCCCTCATCACTGGAAGGTAAAGCCTGGATTTGAATCTGGAAGCCCTCATTTGTACCCAGCATACAATATTTTTTTCTTTTTTACAAAAACACTGACTGAGGGTTGATACAACCTCTGCTGTTGCAAACCCATGGTCATTTTTTTTTTTCATCAACTGCACATTAACATTAAATTCCAACTATATGTTGGTGATTTAAAAAAAAATCAATGCAATTCTCTACCCATTGAGTGAGTCTACAGTGCCTTATTATATTCTCAGGTGAGTCAAGACTGGCTCTTCCTGTTTTGTTGCCCAGCAAGAAGAGTTTGGCTTTATTTTCCTTTGTTGTTATTTATTTCAGCCCATGTTTTCTGCTATTGGAGCCACGTCGTGCTGTATCCATTTTCATTACCCAAAATACCATAGTGCCCCACTACCCAGATAAGCAAGAATTTCACACTTCTGGATTTTAAAGCATAGAGAACATCCTGAAACTTGTTTTAAAAATGGATCTTGTTTAATAGGAGTGCTGATAGTGATGCTGTACATATTACCATTATGCTTTGAATCATACTGACTTTTGCATTTGTGCAGTTTTTTGCTGCCTTTTTCACTTCTGTTTAATTAATTTTAGTGTTTTGATGCGAGTGTGACAATGTAATTTCTTGTACGATTCATTAAACAGATTTCTACATTTTTTTGTAGCAGTTTTTGTTGGAAGAGTAGAAATTGTTTACATGAATAATAAAATAGAAGATCAAAACAACTTGTTTAATTTTAATTTTTTATGTAGACATTTTGAGTTCATCAACTTACATTAAATTCCAACTTATTGATGCTAATGTAAAAAAACAAAAAAAAAATTATTTTCCACATGTAAAAAGGCAGTGGATGGTTGAATAAATTGGATGATTTAATTAACAAAAGAAAAATCATATGTTATATTAAAATTTTTGTCTACATCATGGCTCAAAAATTATTAAGAAGACAACAGACTAGGATCCTATCGCCTTACAAAGATAATTAGTATGAAAGAAAACAATTCTGAAACATACATTTCTGGGAGTGGAGAAATTTATGAGTTGAAAAAGCCTAGGTGTAAAAAGGCCGAAGAACAGGAAGGTTCAAACGTATTTGATCTTGCCGTCGGGTTTGCAAGAAAGGGTGCTGACGTTCTTTTCACATATAGCCGAAAAGCTTTCAACAACCTTTTCGAAGATCAACAAACAGACATGTCTCGCCGAAGGGTAAGTTTTACGGTCAAAGACCAGGTGAAATTTAAATTTATTTAAATTTTTTTATAAATTAAAATATCTATTTTTTTATAGCATATATGTATATGATTTATACTTTTATAGTTACATTGATAATATTCATACAATATCAATTTTTTTTAAAGCAACAGTTGTTTAATGCGTAAATGTGAAAATTGATGAAATTGCATTACAGCATTTAAGAAATTAATCTCCACAAAGATATACATCATATGCGTATTGTGGTAAACTTAGAATTCAAAAATTTCAAACATTGCGATATAAATAAATCCATACAGCCACAATTTTTGTAGGCATGAATGTATAACAATATGTATATATACATGTTGTTTTGCATCATTACATATAGGAAGAATTCAAAATAAATACACCGATGGACATATTTAACGCACCATACAATTTATTTAGTTCAAAATTAAGTCCATTCTTTCTACATTAGTTACAGGTAATTAGGAGCTATCATTGTCAAAATAAACTGTAACTAATACTTTGTACTGATTAATCCCATTTGTTGAAAAAGTAGCCTGAAGATTGCTTTTAGTTAATCTTTTTCCTTCTTTGATTTCATTTGATATTATTTTTATTCTTAAATCTTTTTTAATGGCTCCATGAGTGTCAGGGTCATAACATTTTTAGAGGGAGGATACAGCCAGCGCAAAGTCGCCAGGAGACTGAGTATAAATCACTCTATAATAGAAAAGGTTCTTCGGCGCTTCAGAGAAACAGGGCCTCACATTAGAAGACCAGGGGCAGGGTCGATGTAGGTCTGTAGAGGAGAGAGAGATGACAGATTCATCAGTCATTAGGCTCTATGAAACCGCAGCATTACGAGAAACGAGATAAGAAATCAAGACGTCCGAAATGTTTTGATTTCCTCCAGGATTGTAAGAAGAAGGCTCAATGTAAATATCCTCAGGGCTGAGCACCCGGGTTGTGGACCTCTTCAGACCACAATTCATAAAATGTCCAGGCTTCAATTTGCATGGGAACATGAAAATTGGACATTGGAAGTTTGGGGACGAGTTCTCTTTACAGATGAGGTTGTCCTCAAATCTTCAGATGTTCGTAATTTCGCATGCTCAGGAGAAAGGTATGCCCCATGCTGTACGGATCCTCAGGTGGCATTCTATGGAGAGTCATTGATGTTCTGGGTTTCTTTGGAAGCCTGCATTGAATTTGTGGTATTTAGTTGCTCTAACTTCACAGAGGTACATGCAAGTCATAATCGAAGAACACGTAGTACCATTTGCCCCCCACATCGGTGAGAAATTCTTGCTAATGCAGGATAATGCCAGGCCCCATGGAGCACGTATTGTGGATGACTAACTGAATGAGGCTAGAATTGACCTTGGTGTGGCCAGCTTGAAGACAAGCTCTAACTTCACAGAGGTACTTGCAAGTCAAAATCAAAGAACACATAGTGCCATTTGCCCCCTCCCCACATCGGTGAGAGATTCTTGCTAATGCAGGATAATGCCAGGCCCCTTGAAGCACGTATTGTGGATGACTAACTGAATGAGGCTAGAATTGAGCTTGGTGTGGCCAGCTTGAAGACAAGTTTCTTTGGGTTGGTGATGGTTAGGGTTTCTTTTTAAATGTCTTATTTTTACAACAAAATCTATTCTTGGTACGCAAAATAAACTTAAATCCATTAAAATTAAAGGTGGTGCATTAATTTTGTCCATCAGTGAATATATCATTATAATATATTAATGTTTTCTGAATTGTTTTCTACAGGACAAGATTGAGCCGATGGGCCCAGTCTATTTGATAAAATCAGTGAGAGATCAGATCCAGCTCTTCCAGGAGAAGCGAGGTATAACGCCGGATGAGAACAACTTTGTCAACTTGATGGCAGTGGTGATCCAGCAGTCGGGGCAGGCGATGTACGCCGTATTCACCATGTTCCTTGCGCTCCTCCCAATCATCACGATACTCATCCATGTAGCTCACTTTGTGCTCGACAGGGTTGTCGACGTTATAACGACGAGGAAGAAGCAAGACCTGTGGGTGAAGGGCGGCATTTTCATTGCTCAGCTGACTGTGATTTTTATCGCCCTCAAATTCATAATCGGGGCGATTTTCTCGCCGATCTTCTCAATGCAGCTAACCATTATTTCAAAGATGTTGTTCTTTGATGACGATTCTGGAGGATGTTAGTTTCTCTGTCTGATGTTTTCAAAAAAAGCAAAAACCTTGTGTCTGAATTTGTCGTAAAAAATATAAACCTATTTTCTCATGTATCAAGAATTAATCTAAATTAACTATTTTTGGTTTGCACTGCTAGCTCTTTTTCTTCAAGATATTAGTTTTTTCACTACAAAATGTAGCGTTTAGTTATTGGTTGACATATTCATTATCAGACAATGCCTTACAAATCTTGAATCAAAAATATTTATGAATTTATAAATTAATATATGTAATATAAGGATATTTGTAATTCACAAAGCCATACGATGTGCCCCACCTAATTGAAGGTTGTAAATCTTGGCTCCTTATAGAAAGCTTGTAGGAATGCCATCAATAGCCATGAAAATTGTGCTTGAGTTTGGTAATGAGTATCTGGGTACTTGTCCCAATTTTTAAACTGTTTTATATTCTATAGTACTTTATCTTGTCTTGTATTTCTTGGTGTTTTAATGTATACAGTAATGATAGTATTGTGTCCCTAGGATATGTTGACAGTGAAGGAGATTGGCATGAATGTGTAGTGTGATTAATTTTGTTATGTAGGTATAAAGGGTGATGGAGAAATACTGAGTAATCAGTGAATACGAATAAAAATGAGATATAAAATATGAATAAAATAAATAAGAAATACTGTATGTAGTACATTACGTTGGGTTTGGAATGATGACTTAATTGTTTAAAGCACCTAGAGCCCAACCTCAGTGACTGGACAGATAAGAAACTGTACTGCCAACACTCGTGGCTGGTAATTCTGGAGGCCTGCAGTAATTTATGGCAAATTAGTGTTGGAATTGCTGGTGTACTGTGAGAAGTGATAGTATGCATATATACTCTATATGCATATTTGAATTTTTTACTTTGTATACCAGGTACTGGATGAGTTCCACCTGGGCACTGCAGCTTTTCTAGCTTATTGTACTCCTTTACCTGGCTTCATTTTTGGGAGCTCACGTCACTGTGTGAATGGAACCCTCTGTGTTCTTCCATCGAAGAAACTCATTTTTGAAGGGGGTCGGACCAAATTCTAGGCTTCTGAGAAACAATCCCACCTTCCATTGATTAGTGATGTGCCAACTTTCATAGTGGCCAACGCCTTATGCATCAGGAAAAAAAGTTTAACGGGATGGAATCAAACACATGACACTGGTATCTACTAGTTGAGAATCTGATACTTTAACCACTCGGCTACTGCGCTCCAGATTTGAGCTTATATCAGCAACCAGCAGTACAGTACTGTAAACAATGCTGTGGTATCTGTATAACATTTTTTTTCTTCAATGTAGACCATTGTTTCAGTTAAATGTTAAACTTTAAACTATGCCTTCAACATTAGGTATAAATAAGTAACAATAACTGAAAAAATATATTTTATTTAAGTGAATTTGAGAGGGAGACACAATTCTCAGTTCCAGGATAATCAGGGAGTTGAAGATCATACTTTTTAGCCAAGGCGAAAGGCACAAAACGCCCACCTAAAAAATGATATTTTCCTTTAAACATCTCAGCACACTTTTTTGGCGCTGTGAGAGAGATAAGCATTTCTGGTTGGAGTGAGTCTTCCAGAGGACCTTTCTCCACGTCCCATCCGCTTGGGATGTCGATGCTGCAAACTGGGCTGGAAGTGCCCCTCAGGGCATCCATCAGCGGGGCGAAACTAGGTCTGACCGGTGGCTTGAAGCTAAATCCGAAAAGTGCATCAACCACCAAATCATGGCAGTCAAGAGATTCCTTGGACACACAATCGATAAATTCTATATCGAGGGATTCACACTGTGCGGTCAGGTTTTTGTAGAGCTGGAGTTCCGTCCTTTTTGGGTAATGGACCGTCAGTTTGAAGCCGAAGTGTTTCAAGTGCCTCGCACAGACTAAGCCGTCACCTCCGTTGTTCCCTGGGCCACAGCAGACCAACATGGCCTTCGCCTTCGGATAACATTTTGCAATAGCGTTCGCACAGCTCAAGCCAGCCAGCTCCATGAGCTGGTCAACGCTGAATTTGTACTCATTGAACAGCTCCTGGTCGATGTTTATCGCCTCAGACTGGTTCAAGTATTTGACCATTTTTAAGCCCACCCCTGTCCTCAAGCTGCGTAAATCCGCTCGGAATGTCTTTTTAAATGAGTGGACAGCTAAAACGTACGAAGGTAAAAAAAACATCTAAATCTCGACAGTTTAAATTATATAATGGCCCCTAAAATTTAATTACTAGAAATTCAATACGTTTAGAATTAAAAAGTAATGAATTTCTAATTTAATGAAAATATTTTTTTTTATGTTTGAAAAGCAAATTAACTACAATATATTCTTCGTGGAGCACTTACATAAAACGGCTTATCACTTATCATATTTTAATTTTGAGGAGGTTATTCGCGGCTATCTTGCACAAGAAGGTAGTTCAAGAAGGCTATGTTGAATTCTGATTGTAAGTGTCTAATTAATAAAAATTAACCATATTAAATAAATATTTCACAAAATTAAAACCATTTTAATAAAGTGAACAATGATAATAAGTGTGGGGAAAATCAAAAAAGATAATAAGATCAAAAGATACTTCTTAAAATTTCATGCTGATCCGGCATCGGGCCCAGGAACTACGCCTCATTGAAGATGGCGCATGCCGAAATGCGTTTGAGTAGTTCAACAAACCCACGAGTGAAGACGGACCCAATGCCGGTTCAGAATGAGTATAAGTTCACCGATTCGTAGACTAACTTCTTGAAATTTTCTTTTTGGTTTCCTCACCATTAATCTAATTTGATCAGAGGCATTCGAAGAATAAAACCGACTAAGTATTAAGTCCAAAAGACACTTGATTAATTGCAGAACAGTAAAAATTAACATGAATTCTCGAATTGCTTTGATATTTTTTTGTCTTCAAAATTTTCATCTCATGTAACGGTCCATACCAACAGCGAACGACAGCATACAAACCGATGCAAATTACTCAATATAAACAAAATGGTGGACGAAAAGACTGTCATGCACAGTCTGTTGTCAGGTACGTTATTGCCTTCTGCCTCTTCGCAGAGCACGTACCGGGTTGGTTTGGTACCAATGTTTCTCAAGTACTCATTCAGACACTGCTTCATTAAGAATCCTGTCACAATTGGTAGTCTCTTCCTTCTTCCTTCGATTTCTATTTTTTCTTTTCAAATTTTGCCAGGAGGTTTTTGGATTGCTTGTGTCCAGTGCGTGAATTTTGTAATTTTCACTTACCATGTTTTTATCAACATACTCATTGATAATATAGATCCCTATGCAATAGCAGGGTTCAGGACTTATCGGCGGTGTAGCAGCCCGTTTCCTAGCGAGGGCACCAGCTTCTTCGTTTCCCTCCATTCATTTAAGTGATTTTGTTTTGCACACCTAACCTCTTTAGTTTGGTTTTGCAACAGTTCTGATAGCTGCTGGCTATCCGACATGTCTTTGTTTTATGTCCTTTGAATTGAGTAAATCTATCAATTGCATGGATTTCAGCTTAAAAGTTACTGTGTTACTTGCTTATGGGTTATAATATTTTATTTTGGAGCTAAAAGCTACTGCCCTGTACCTTATTGCGTTCTAACCTGCTCAAAAATGAATAGGGATATTTGTAATTTATTCTTATTCTATTAATTTTAATTAAATTAACCGATATATTATATGCCGGTCCCCGACTTAGAATAAGTTCTATTTGTTAAAGTAAGCAGAACAAAAATTAGTTTAAAAGACCACACACAAAAAAGGCAGTAAATCGGAAGGGGCGATCACCCGACCGAGAGCGTCGTGACATTTCTCACAAACCACGGAATTCTAGCCCTGCACTAATTTCCCAGTTGGCCTAAGGATGTCACAGCACAGGCGGGAGCGACGTGACATTTCTCACAAACCAGGGAAATCTGCTGTACAATAATTGCACAGTTGACCGAAGGATGTTACAGCACAGGCGGGAGGGACGTGGCATTTCTCACAAACCAGGGATATCTAGCCCTACAATAAGTCCAATACATACGAACATTGAAGTGTCTTTAAAAAGATAGTTCCTACTCGCAGTAAATTGTTTTCATCGATCCGGATTTCGAGGCTACACCTCATCATCGTGTTGAAGGACCTCTACAACCTGATGATGAGCTATAGCTCGAAATTCGGATCGTCAAAAACAACTTACGGTGAGTAGGAACTATCTTTTTAAAAAGATTGAGCAATACACTCACGCCACCATTTATATTTTCTATTGACATTGAAGTGTGTCGCCACATGAACCAGTTCCCCCGAACCAGGGAAACATAAAGTACCGATAGTTGGACAGCCGATTACATAAATAACTAACGACGAGTTAGTTATTGTCACAAGGGCTCAAACCAGTCAGTCTAGTCCAAGGGCTCACACCAATGAATCTCGTCTAAGGGCTCACAGTTTCTTGGTTCTTGAACTGCAAATCAACAAATGCTTCATTCAATACAGTTTGGAGGAGGCAGTGTAATGGTCTGGGCTGGGATTTGCACTGGAGGACGAACTGATCTCCATATTGTAGTAGGCAACCTGAACCTGTTATGTCCAAGAAATTATCGAGGAATACATCCCTCAAACTAGGAACTCATTGGTAAGGATTTTCGATTTCTGGATGACAATGCCAGCCTCATAGAGACAGAGTTGTTCATCAATGTTTAGAAAACCCGGGAATTTCCCATCTGCCCATTCCCCCGTTGTCTCCAGACCTCAATCCCATTGAGCACATGTGGGATGCGTTGCAGAGAAGGCTTTTCGATCACCATCCGCAGCCAATTGACCTTCAACAACTGAGTGCAGCGTTACAACATCTGTAGAGTGAAATTTCTAGTGACAATTACAGTGTGCCTAACAGGTGCACAGATGTATTTAGCTAACAGAAGACATTTTACACGGTATTTTTAAATTTTTTTTTTGTCCAATAAACAAAATTATGGAGTTAAATCCTTTTATTTTATTTTTCATAACCCCTTAATTAAATTTTCCTTCAGTAAAAAACAATTTCTAATAAATTGAATGTAATTTATAATAAAAATAAAATAAAAATACTGGGGTAAATGGGTAAATACTACAAAATTGGCAATATCTCTAATCATTTTTGAGCAGTTTAGATCCATTACCAGCAACAAGTGTTTCCCTTGACTGGTTTTTACCCCACTAACCTTTGGTATTTAGGTTTGTTTAGAAGTTTTGTTTAAATTCAAATATCTCGTTTATATCATCCCTAGGAGCCATGAGTATCGCATATTATGTCATTTTCTTTTGTCCTTCCATTTAACTTTTAATATCTTTGGATGTTCTTCATTGTTTATGTTAAACAGCATTTTATTTGCTGTTGTTATGATTTGATGGTGGTGTCGTAGTACCAATAATTTCTCGATAAGCTGTATGGGGCCTGTTCTGAATGGTCATTACTCACATGCATTTGTGTAAGTTTTCTTTATTTTGTTATCTGTTTGACTTTATCGGTCCAGCACATGGTGTACGTTCAGAGCAGAATATCCGGCCTGCAATCTCAATTTTTACGTGCTATTCTTCTCCTCTGCACGTGCGCCCTTTTTTGTACTAATGACAATGTTATGTCCTCTGAATACCAGATTATTTTCTAGTGTGATCCTAGATATTTATGTTTTATTTTTAACTCGATCAGTGTGATCAGACTTATCATTTGATCCATTTTCCTTCTCTTTGCAAAAATCAGCTATGGTTGCTTTGTTACAGTTGATCTAGCCGATTTTCACAACTTACAACTAACAAATTTATTTAATAAAGTAAGAATTAAAACAGCAGATCACGACCTATATCGGAAAACTATTAAGAAAAAAATGTTGATAAAACAAATCCACAAGACAAAAATTGTACATATGCCAACATACGAAAATAGATACAAACGCATCGAACAGACAGGACGATAAATAAAAGACAGATAGAAAGAAAATATAAGATCGTTTAGGGAACGGAAGATGGATATAGATGATTCAACTCATAGAAAACCATCACGATCCCTCAACAATACAGACGAGAATTCGTTGAAGTGGTGATGAGCGGCTAGGAATAAGTATTTTAGAGAAACACCTTTTTCATTTGTTACCGACGTTTCGACCATTATTTAGGTCATCTAAAGTGCCTGGGTGAATACAAAACATATGTTGCTTGGAAAAAATACAATACCGATGTAAATAATATAAATTTTGAACCTTTTAACCCCCAATCAACATATGTTTTGTAATTCACTCAGGTCCTGAAGATGACCGGAATGTAGAAAGTCGTAAAAAATTAAAAAGTGTTTTTGTAAAATATGTACTTCATTCCTGAACGCTCTTCACCCCTTCAACAAATGATTGAACAACCGGTCGTTAAAAGCACACATTAACACAGACAAGCGTGAAACAAAAAATGAATATACTGGATTCAACCATAAAAACCTTATAAACACGCAAATCAGTAACAGTTCACAATTCAAAACAAATACCAATTAAAAAGAAAAAAGCCCCCTAACCTCATAAAAGAGACATCACAGAATCATCATCACAAAAATGCTCTGACAATCCGACACAGCGAAAATAGGAAGGCTAAAACGATCGGGCGACCAAATTAAAGGTTCATCACACTGCAGACCACAGCAGGAAGTCACGAAAATAAATATTAAATCAGCGAAAATAATCAGACCGGAAGATCAAACTATTAGTTCGTCGCTTGCATGCCCACTATTATTTAACAGACTAATCATAGTTTACCTAATTATACTTTTTATCTAAGGTCTTGGTTGAGATGAAAAAACTAGTGTCACGAGCGGGATTCGAACCCACGGCCTTCGGCTCAATACGCCTCTGCTCTAACCACTTGAGTTACGTTTGTGTCCGAGTGCGATTCTGCATAAAACGCTGACTTTATCTCCACCATGCCTTTGGATAAAAGTATAAATAATTTAAATAATTAATAGGTCAATTATGACTACTAAATACATATATAGATTCACCTGAAACTTCAATAATTTGTTCTCAAATTAATTTACTTACTTTACTTTACTAATTTACTTATTAATTAATTACTTTACATTTTAAATTACAAATTAAATGTCGCCTGTAATCATTTGCCTCTTTCACATATTTGTATGCATTTAGGCCTGTAATTATTGGGCTCGACAATCATCCCAGATGATCATTTCATTGTATTCGATTTCTTTTTTATATGTACTATAATTATTAATCAATGTCTGAGATAAAAACTGTATTTTTCTGAAATACATTTTGTTATTATTAAAAAGTTGAGCGTAGCCGTGACCTAAATGTGGTGTTGGTAGTAAGACACAGCATTTTTTTGGATCGTGAGAAGTCAACTGAAAAATTGGAACGCCGTTCATAAATAGTAACAGATCAAAGGCTCTTTTCTAAAATAAATTTGTTCAACAAACCTTGATTTGCTCAGAGAGATAAGGAGAAAGCCATCAATCATACATTTTATAAAGACATTTTTCAAATTGAGGCTCTATTCCTTTTGCTGTTTCTCTTTCTTGTCTTTTTTCTTAAGCTTTTCCAGTATGTTTTCAGAGTTTGTCTGTAGTTTGGCAAGATCCAAAGGAAGGTATTCGATGGTGTGCGGCGATAGCTGTAAAAAAGCCGGTTTACAAGAATAATAGAAATGTATTTTATAACCATTTCATGCCTCTACCTGGACCGGACGTAGGTTCTTTATTCTTATGTCTTCAGAGTATTCCTCCTTTCTTGTCGTGCTCACTGATGCCGTCGGCTGCTTTCGAGTAGGCTAATAAACAATATTTGTTTTAAAGTTCCGTCTTTTGTTCAAAAAATGGCAAAAATTAAGCCTTTCACTTGATACTTTTTATTTAAAACTTGTGTGTCCTGTTCTCGATTTCACAAGTGGAAGTCTTATCAAATCGTAATTGATACTTACACTCTGTGACTTCCGCGTCGAGACTTCATTCCAACTTCCTTTACTTATAGTCTGAAAAATTACAAAAATTCCATGATAAATAGACCTAATAAGTAGTTCAATATTTTGAAGCAATATATAGAATAATTATTTTCATTTATCACTATCAATGAGGAATAATTTAATTGTATAGAATTACTTCGCTAGATGAATCTTTAGCTGCGAATCTGACTCTATCTTTGGGAGGAGAGGAATGGACATCTCTTGAACCCTTAAACAAAGTAATTATGAATAGACTTTCATGTTCTGTCGAAGGTAATATGTCGACTGCCCATGATCATCCTGGCCCGTAGATATAAGCGAAAACCCCGGACCAGCATAGTCACCGATGGACAAAGAGTCAAAATATGAACAAGACGTTTCAGATTTTTGCATTCAATTTAGGTCAGTAAAAACATTGGTAGTAGCCCAGATGAGTCTGATAATGGTATTAAATAAAAAAAAATTGTTTTATAATATTTATTTGTATCCTGCACGTGAATTATGTTCCTTACAAATTTTTCAAAATTCCGGGCACAACGTTGTGGGGACACGTGTTAAAAGAAGACAAGAAATGCTGACACCCACCTTTGTCGGGTTAAGGGTGAGGAGGTAGTTTTGAGAAAAGGTGTTTTTGGCACAGGTGTTACTAGTGCAAGGAGTACTGGCACAGCTAATGACTCGATCAGATAGAGCGGGAAAGGAACTACTGACCCATCTGATATCACATCGGACATGTCTTGTTTATTTATTAAAAAAAAATCAGCTAGGACAGAAAAACCTTATCGAAATTAACAACAATGCACAACATCAGGACAAATTTAAGCAAGTCCGACGTGACATGGGCCAGTAGAACCTTCGAATGGGCTAGTAGCTCTTGCGCCAGACAGTGCAAGTCCACGTGAGGTCACATTTAGGTACTAGTTGCTCCTCGCACTCTGTCTGATCAAGTCATCGGCTGTGCCAGTAGACACTAGTTCAAGCAAGTTTCAAATGTGACAGTAGCTCTAGACAGTGCATGTCCTACTTGACTTCACATGTGTCAGTAGCGTCATCAAATTAGTTAGTAGCTCCCTGTCCACTGTTTGATGACGCCATCAGCTGTGCCAGTAGGTCCTCCGCCCTTGCACTAGTTTAAATGGATATCGGCCAATATCGATCTTTTCTCACAACTGGAGGTCTCGAGGCCGTCGTGGAGGGGTTTTGGGATGAGAAGTTGTGCAGAGGGTTTGAGCAGTAAGTTAGGATGGGTTAAAAGATTTGTTGAAACTTGAGGAAATGGAGATAAGTCAATTCCTTAACAAAGGGGATGTTAAGGTCTGGTTAGTGAGGTTGGAGACGTAGTTAGGAGTTTGGAGAATTCTTGATATGGACTTTTGATTGGAATGTTTCGATTAGCCGGATATTAGAATGGCTTGGTGATAACCCCACAGCTCCACTTTGTATGTCCAAATACAGCTAAATGGTAGCTTTTGCAAAGTGTTAGTTTGTTCTTTACAGTCATGTTTGATTTCGGAACTATGTCTTTGTAGTCGTTCAAAACCGTCTATTTAGTTATTGAAAATACTAAGTTTATTTTGAAAAGTCTGTTTTTTGCGGAACTCTATGTAGACGTCTTTATCATATGTTTACTTCTAACATTTTCAGACCACGATATTAGTTTTTTCCGGGTCTACATTATCAGCCAATGCAGCCGCTCGTTATTATTTTTCACATGTGATTCAAATTCAATGTGCCATATGGATGTCACCTTTGTGTTTGAATAGAAAAGGAAAAACAAAATGTTCACGCTCACACGGACGTTCAAAATTGTCTGCGACCCTACGGTTACCTGTCCACGAACATAGCCCGGTCGCCTGAAGTTAGGAGGCTGCTTGTCACGAGGAGGATTGACATTTTCAGCAGCACCAGCGACCGCATTTGGCGGATATACTGAAGGACGGGTCCCTGGTGAAGAAATGGAAGGTTTTCTCTTTGATTGCAGTAACTGTACGTCCTTATCCTTTTTGGAAAAGAATCTCGAAGCCATTAAAGCCTAAAACCGTTTAAGTTTCTGATTTTTATTTAATTTCTTTTTTTAATATATGTTATATGTTCAAACAAAAAACGATTAGCATTTCAATTGTCCAGGCGGTTTTTACCTTCATTTCGAGACTTGAGTACGGGGCTGATTTTTTTCGATCCCGATCGATTATAGTGATGCTTTCCCGGACGTACGGTGCACTTGATCGCTAGAATACAGTACAAACAAAATTAACGTATAATCTAAGTCCCAAAATCAATGGTTAAAATTGAGAATAACAATCTATTATCAACATAATCATCCATTATGTGAAAGGCTTCTTAGCATGTAATTTTTATCGGGGCATATAGTTTAAATAATAGTATCAATTTTTTTTATAACATTCCGTTGATTATGTAATGAGATATGATTCGGAGGGCTCGGAATGCACTCAACTTCGGCTAGGATGGTAGATTTTTTCCCAACTGAATTAGACACTGTTTTTTGATTTTTTTCTAAAATTGCGAAAACAGTGATAACTTTCAAACGACTCTACCGATCTACCAGAAAACGTACTAGGGTACAGATCCTGATAAAAGAGCACGTATTGACCTAACCGTCATTAGGTGTAACCTCAGTAAATAAATTAAAATTAGAGTTGTAAAATAAAACAGTTAAGATTTTTTGTTGATTTCATCCTATTTTTCATGCCTATAATGACATGAAATCTGTGCAGTTTTGCTTAAGCTGAAATAAGAGGATTTAAGCTTTCTAACGGTACTTGAATTTGGATAAAATTCAGAGGGGATTATTAATTTTTAAGCGGAACACCAACAGACATGAGATTTAAAAAACAAAAATTTGAATCCACCCAAAAAGATTACAGTTCGTTAGATATAAAAATTAATATATAAGAGGTTTGAAAAGTGCTTAAAACTAATCCATTCTCTCTCTAAAAAAAGGGGTTTTGTCCTATTTTGGCGAGTTTCTGATTCGGCAGTGAGGAATCTGTAACTTTTTGTATTTTCTTCTGTTTTCTACTTCCCTTCACCCACCTCTCCTGCGTGAGCACACATGGTCCTGATGTCTTCACCCCCATTCAGAAACTGGCCAAGTGTTCAGTAATAAAAACAAATGAAAAGTGTTGCTCATAAAAATAGGAGTGATGTGAGGTTGGCCACAATTTCACAACTTTGATGGGCTTAATTTTGTTGGTAGGGAATCTAGAACGTTTATCTTTTCTTTTGAGTTCTCTCAGGCTATGGACTAAAAACGAACGGACTTGGCAGTATGTCATTAAACTGATAGACTAATTTTTTTGGAGAAAATCTGGAACCTGGCCTTTTTCTCACGGTTAGGATGCACAATTTCGAGTTGTACAATAATTAAGCCGAATTTTTACAATTTGTACCAAATCCTGATTTTAATGTAGGATGATGTTGAAGGAAAGAATTGGGTTAGGATAAATTAAATATAACTGTAAGCTAGGTTGGTTGTCAACGATTGAAAAAACCTTTTTAAATTTAAATTTATGTTCATTTCAAACTCTCCAAAAAGATAGATTTTATAAATGTATATACAAGTCCAACTGAAGCTTTTACGATCTTAATAAAAAAGGAAAGTACTTTATTATACAAATACATTACGTTTTGTAACGATATCAGGATTTTCCTGTCTCTGAAATGGTTAGGAAACAAGTTATGGGGGAGCTAGAGAAATCAATCAGTTGTTAATATATTTAATAAGTTTCGGAAACAATTTATGAGGGCGCTACAAAATAATATATGCAGTATGTTTTGCAAACAATTTATGAGGGTGCTAAATAAATTACTGAGTTGTTAAAATATTTAGAAGTTTTGGAAACAATTTATGGGCGAGCTACATAAATTAGCATATTATTAATATATGTAGTATTGTTTTGCAAACACTTCTTGAGGGTGCTAAATAAATTATTGTTAATATATTTAGTAAGTTTTGGAAACAATTTATGGGGGAGCTACATAAATTAACATCTTATTAATATATGTAGTATGTTTTGCAAACACTTTATGAGGGTGCTAAATAAATTATTGTTAATATATTTAGTAAGTTTTGGAAACAATTTATGGGGGAGCTACATAAATTAACATCTTATTAATATATGTAGTATGTTTTGCAAACACTTTATGAGGGTGCTAAATAAATTATTGTTAATATATTTAGTAAGTTTTGGAAACAATTTATGGGGGAGCTACAAAATAATATATGTAGTATGTTTTGCAAACATTTTATGAGGATACTTAATAAATTAATGAGTTGTTAAAATATTTAGTAAGTTTTGGAAACAATTTATGAGGGCGCTACAAAATAATATATGTAGTATGTTTTGCAAACAATTTATGAGGGTGCTAAATAAATTACTGAGTTGTTAAAATATTTAGTAAGGTTTGTAATCATTTTATGGAGGAGTTACGTAAATTAACATATTATGAATATATGTAGTATGTTTTAAAAACATTTTATGGGAGAGCTAAATCAATTAATGAGTTGTTAAAATATTTAGTAAGTTTTGGAAACAATTTATGGGGAAGCTACATAAATTAACATATTATTAATATATGTAGTATGTTTTGCAAATACTTTATGAGGGTGCTAAATAAATTATTGAGTTGTTAATATATATAGTAAGGTTTGGAATCATTTTATGGAGGAGTTATGAAAATTAACATATTATGAATATATGTAGTATGTTTTGAAAACATTTTATGGGGGAGCTAAGTCAATTAATGTGTTGCTAATATATTATGCCATATGTTTTGTAAACTATTTATGGGGGAGCTAAAAAATTAATGAGTCGTTAAAATATTTAGTAAGTTTTGGAAACAATTTATAGCGGAGCTACATAAATTAACGTATTATTAATATATGTAGTATGTTTTACAAACACTTTATGAGGGTGCTAAATAAATTATTGAGTTGTTAATATATTTAGTAAGTTTTGGAAACAATTTACGGAGGATATAAATTTATTGATATGTTAATAAATGTACTAAATCTGGTTTATAAACAATTATGAGGTAGCTACGTAAATTAATGAGTTATTTATATGCAGCAATGTTTGGAAACGATCTATTAGGGGTGCACCCATGCTTTAAATTTTTCACACTTCGACCTTTCAAATCTAAGTGCGATTAAACCAACTAACTCGTGTCATTGCTAACAAAAACTTGACTCCCATAAAAATACAAGATATGATTTTGCCAATCAATGAAAGTTGAAAATTGGTGGAAAATTATAAAATATATAATTATATATAAACATATTTTAACAACTCGAAAATAGTATCGTCAAGCCTTGGAAACGTTCGGCTTAAATTAAATGAGAAACGGCTTGCCTCCAAATTTTTCGAACCAAATTGAGCTAACACGATGCAAATAGGTACAGCGGAAAAAGAACGGCTACAAACCTTTTTCAATGTATGTCTGTCTTTAGCCTGTGTTTTATCCAAGACCGGCTCGCTCGACTTTATCTTGATGGGTTCTTTAAGCGAGGTTTTTGTAAAAAGAGTCTGTAACCGGAAAAATCCATTAACAACATTCAGTAAATTGTATGTATTAATTAAATAAACAACGCTAAATGTTTAAAAAGAAAATTAGCGTCATAATTCATTAATTTATAATAATAATAGACAGGGGGTTGGAAATCTTACCCTGGAAGGATTATCCAATCTCTTGGGCAACACTTGGTGAACTGGAATGCTAAGAATATTCTGGAAAAGAGTACAGTTTTAATCTATTTTATATTATTCCCATTGGTATTATGTGGATTTGGGTTACTTTCGGCCTTTCAGCTTGTGACGGATTCAAAAAAGAGTGGAGTATCTTTGGCAAGTAGCGCTTGGGCAAAGTTGCATTTTCTTTCTTTTCAGCGAGGAAATTGTGGTAGGATTCATGCACGCTTGACATCTTTCTATTGTATGTCGCATTTTCCAAACTTTGAGTCTTCTGTAATTTAGTTTTATATTTATTAGTAATTATTACACTACTTCCAACCCTCTGCGCATAGGATTCCTTCCAATATAAGAATTTATTAAAGGATCGACACTATAAACTGTTTTTAATTTTTTTTTATTGCACTAGTCGAAGAATTTTCAAAAAGGGACTCAATTCCCCACAGAATTATCAAGGATCTGGAGTACTGATGAAATTATTAAAAGAGTTTGAAATTTTGAGATACTCTGTAGTATTAAGTGTTTAATTAATGGTATATTGATAAAGGATCAGACTATTTATTACAGATGGAGATACAAAGAGATAAACAACGAGATTAAAAGGGTCAGATCTTATTTTCCCGTTCATGTTTCAAAGCCCGCTTTAACATATCATTAGGCAAATCACCTGCGTAATGTTCAGGAATTATTTATTTTTTCAACCCAAGGAAAGTTAATATAGAAAAATGTTTACCTTGGCATTAAACGAGTTTGGATTTTTTGCATTTTTATCGACATTTTTTCCCTCCGGAAGTAAAATCCTCACGCTCTGTAAAAGAGAAAAGAAAAATTCGGTGTCATTATAATTTATGACAAGAAATCGTAAGTTTGCAGGATTTGAGATAGGATCATCTGCAGCAGATGCATGAATTGGTTGTGAGATTTGATTCTTTGAAAGCATACAGAACCCACATTCAGTTTACCTTTGGATAAGGCCAATGTCTGACTTTTTCTTCATTGCAACCTTTGTTTTCTTTCAGATCTGTTTTATCCTGAAAATAAAATAAAATTGTAAAATCCATCACTTTTTTGTTTACTCACTTTTATTGAAAATTCCCACCTTACTATAGATCGATTCTCTGCTAAAAAACTTTCTTCCTTTGATTGTATTCTTTGTCCTTTCATTGTTCTGCGGATCGAACAGGGGAACAGATTCGTACTTAAGATATTTTGACTTTGATTTTAAACATTAAAAACCTACTTCTTACTTACACTGAACAGGAAAGAATCAAGCATGGAGTTTCTTTCCATTCCAATTCGTGACATCACCAATAACTGGTAAAAACAATTAATTTTTATATTCATTTTATTTTAGTTTAAGTAAATAACATACTACTTAGTTCAGTGAATGAAAGAAAAATAGTTATCGTCCACTGTGACCTATGCAGGTCTATTGTGGAACCTCTACTATTAAGACCATACCGTGTATTTTCCACAAAAGTAAGCATTTTTTGTGCTTCTTGTGAGAATTGCCTTAATAAAGTGGCTATACTTATACGGACTAGTGCTTCAGAACAACAAATGGGCCGATGCCTCCTGTTTCTGTTGACAGAGCCGGCATGTTGATTTCTCTGCTTTGTCCATCTTCTTTATCTGGTAGGAAAAAGGGCAGTGGCTTGTAGAGGGATCTATAATTTTCCCCATGTCTTGCCTGCTTAGAGAGTGGGCTTCCTTTGCCTTACTTTTAGAGAGAGCTCTGCTTGCCTCATGTCTGGTCCAGTGTTAGAATATTCTCTTTTTCAGACCATTTTTCAAGCTCCAATATTTGCTTACGGTGCATCTAGTCTGGGTTTCGGTCAAATAGATGAAAGTGCTGCCCATTCCTTGGCTAGGTTTATTATTAAACCTTCATGTTCTGGATCCCACCTTGAGGTGGGCACCTAGGGCCATTTAGCAATTTAGGAACTTCCAGGCTAGTTTAAAGCGAAAAGTATACGCGTTTATTGCCTCCCTGATTGTCCGAATGTATGTAGATCTTGGTATCTATCATTTCTTATCCACTTCCGTGCACAGTTGTACTGCATGGTTCAACATCAGGTTGGAAAATTTAAGGGTTTGTACAAGTGGCTTGGGCTCAAAGCGTTATCCCTAAGCCTACTCCAATGCGTCTTTGTAAAATCCATCTATATAAAGTGTTTGGTCCTCTTCCTGAAACTTGGGGCTACATTTCTTTCCAATGTCTCTATTACCTATGACCATTTGGAAGGGTCTGACAAAGTTTAGCTTTTCTATAATTTTTTAATTTAGCTTTATAGCTAATATTTATGTGTGGTGTTTAGTGACCGTTAGTTATTGATTTGTTGGAGATTTTTCACATCCTACATGTATTTGTGAAATTTAAACAATGTATATAAATCCCAGGCTCTAATGATGATCTCAATAAAAATCGAAACGTTGGCACGATAAAGAAAATGTTTTTCTAAAACCTACGTCACACCCGACCGCAGCTCACGATTTCCAAATAATCAATAGCTAATATTTTAATTATCTCTTGAATTTTTATCATGTCTTCTCCTTAGATTTGATTTTGGTTCTTTGAATTTCAGGGATCTATTGGCACTCTCGAAAGCCACCCTTTTGAATAAAAATTTGTAAGTGTGGGAGATAAGATTGCGACATTGCTCCTCTTAAGAACAAGTCTTTGTGGATATTTTTTCAAAATATTAGTGCTCCATATGCTGTCAAAGGTCTGACCGTTGTGGTGTATAACCTATAGGCCATCGTGTGTTTTGTCCCTCAGTTTCCTCTGCAAAATCTCTGACCAATGCTTAATAGTGGCTTGTCATTATGTTGCCTATACGACTTCTCTTGAGCCTTTGGTTAATGGTTAAACCTAGGTACTTAGTTTCTTTGTAGAAGGTTATGATTTTATCTTTTTTAATGTTGGTTCTTTTACATTTAGATTAGTTCTTGTGAAGAACATGAGAGTTGTTTTATTGGGTGGATATTTTAACCCACTGTATCAAACCATCTATCTACAATGTTTGCGTTTTTCTGGTTCGACAAAGACTAATAAAATTGTCATAACCTATGATATACTATCGAAAGTTGTTAGACTCTGTGATTAGGTCATCTATCGCAACCGTAGACTTATGACCATCCTTTGGTTTTCTACGTACAGCGCTTATTTATTTATTTATTTATTTTTTTGACTGGGGCTTCCGACATCTAGGTCATTTCGCCCCCAACTAAGTTTATATTCTATTTACCCTTTCAAACACTACATTCATACAAATAAATACATTCATACACATAAATACATCCATACAGTACACTCATTCCATTTGGTCGGTGGAGTACTTGATATTCCTCCACCGACCTATACTCAAACTAATCTAGATTGGGGTCGATGGAGTACTTTTATAAATATTCCGCCATCGACCCCGAACACATACTCTTACGCTCTCATCGTTCGAGGGGTGATGATGACGTTATATTTCACCCTCACCCTCGCCATTCACGCTAATAAATACATGCACTCAGACAAAACATATAGACACATAACACATAAGACATACCATATACAATTAAAAAAAAACCAATTTCCCCTAAAAAGCGAAACAGGGGACTCTGAAATTCGCTACCGTGTTCGAGAACTCTTCTTAAGTCCGGCGGCATGCCTACACGCTCTCTATATGGAGCCAAGGCATGACACGCCTCTATTATGTGGGACACATCGAGCAACCTTTCTCTGCATAAGGGGTACCTGCGCGGGCTTTGGCCCAAAAGCAGGTGCCCATATGTCAACTGCGTATGGCCAATCCTCAGTCGGGTGAGGACGATCCCTCGTCTCCTGCTCAGATTCTCTGAGGTCCATCTACCGGTCGTGCTCTTGACTCGCAAGAGCCTCTCCGACGACCCCGCCCACTCATGCTGCCATCTTTCTTTTATCATATTTTTAACTGCGTGTTTAGCGTCAGGGGGCCTGATCGCGATGGTCCGATCTGGAGGGTGGGACGTACCGGCTTTCGCCGCCTCGTCCGCGCGTTTGTTACCCCCAGGGGCGACGTGTCCGGGAATCCAGACAACAACCACCGTTTTTCCGAGAGGCTCAGCTCCGCGTATTTCTCTAACAAGAGCACGACGAGAGGGTCCACAGAGAACCTGTCGCGTATAGCCCAGAGTCGGTTCATACGAGGAAGGCTGAGCCCTCCCCGGTCCGCACCTCTTCGAGAGCGTGCCAAATCGCATACAGTGTACGCTGCAATGAGGGGCCAACGACCAGGAGGTGGCCACTCCCTCGCTATACACAGCACACGCTACACCATCGCCGGTCTTGGACCCGTCTGTAAAAATCAGACGAAAACCGGCGTATCTATTTCTAAGTTCAAGGAATTTAGCCTTGTAGGAGTACGGCCGGAAAGGTCCAGGGGTCAGCCCTTATTATCCGACTTCTTAACATAGCTAATATCCACCTGGCAGTTGGAGGGCCGAACCCTCTCTTGGCACAGCAGTTTCAATGGTTCTATACAAGGTGTTTTGAAATTCTACTTTTAGGTCCTCAATAATTTTTGTCTACGTGGTCACTTTTTGTTGGTTTGTTGTCGGTCATAAAGCGTTTTTTACTAGATAATTGAAGTCAATCATAAATATGTCATAGATTATCACGAATAATTTTTGTCCTTTAATTTACATTTTCCAATGCTTCTTTTGATATATGATAATATTTTGGCTAAATAGATCATCATTAGTGTGTTAACGAATTATTTTTTATTAAAATATCAATGACAAACTATTGTTTCTATAAAACTATAATATCATTCAACTCAATGATCAATCAATATTGACTTACCTGAAATAAAATTGTCTTACCTGTTTACAAGCTGAAGTCGTGCACAAACATTATATTTTACTGGCATCTTTTCTTGTTTATGTCGTAAAATCAAAGAGTTGCTTGTTGTCCTTCTATGGCATGTTTTAAATGGCCCCTTAAATTAAAATTGCTGTGATAAAATAAAATCATATTACAGGACTTATTAAAGTAATTTTTGTTTGAGTAAAAGCGTTAAGAAAAAACCTCTTAACGTTCTTTTGACTAGGGATAGGCAATCGATCTATTTTTTAAATGTATTTTTGGTTTTAAAGATAAACCGTATTAGGCTGTATATTTCTATTTACCTTTTTTTCTAACAGAATGTAAAGAATTTAGTTAAAATGTTGAGCGTGGTTTGTATATGTAAATTGTGGAAAGGTAAGGCAATTTGGGTGAAAAGAGTTGTGAACACGATTGCAAGTTATTCCGTATGGAAAACTCTGTACCTACCTTTGTTTTTCGTTACTTTATTGAAAAGACCAGTAAATGTTCCATTATGTCTGTATGTAATCCTCCTGTATGTTCTCCTTTTTGTTCGAGTGGTCATGTATTAATTACTGTGTAATGTAAATAACAGCTATTAGCCTTTTTTTGTGTTTATGTATGAAAATGAATTTATTTTTGTCACATGCTTCTTCCCCCAGCTGCGATTCTGCTTCTTAATTAATAGATTAAACAAAAAGTGTTATGCACTTGATCAGTAACTTCGTTGATACGCAATTGTAAAATTTTCTCTTCTTAGAAAATGGTTTAATTGTACTGGCTGTACTGTGAAATGTTAGATTGAACAAAGTAATCGGTTTAAGAAAGTCATTCGATTACATTGGTAATAGGTCTGATGTCACCTCCAGTTCCACCGTGGACACTTCCTGAGGTCGAATCGTTTTCTTATATAACAAAATATCTAGAAGAAATTTACCCCATAACAAATAAATAAGGATTTTATCTCTCGCAAACTCGATCGAACGTTCATCGACAGTTCAAAAACCTTAATTTGTGTGGGGCCGTGTTTATGAATAACTCAAGAGAAAACATGTTTTCTCTTCCAGCGATTTCCCTTCATAACTTGTACCGCGATAGGATTTAAATTGTATAAGAGAAAAACATCTCGGTGCCCCAGGGCAAAGATGCGAAATCGGCTATCATCGGTGATTTTCACCATGAAAGACCATCTGTAGAAGTTTCTCAACTTATAATGAAGTCTATAATATCTGGCTTAATCAATAATTTCATATAAACTAAGGAAAATTAAATATGTTCAAAAGCGCATCTCTATTTGCAAAAAAAAAGCCGCGTTAGCACTTTTAAGAATAGGACACTTTCAGCAAGAGAACGACAAAGAAATAGTTAAAGAAAATATTTCTAAAATTCCAACAGAAAACAGGAGCGAAATATTTATTTATATAAGCTCAAATCCTCACATGCATGTATATAGATACGCATGCGTACGTAGTTGAACCTACCACTTCTAGCAGCTTGCCGGCAATTTCAGTTTTTGTGCAATTTAGAACAAATTACCGGCAGACCGACAGATTATATAACTGACCTAATTGTAGGTCGATGGGGTACTCAATATTCCGCCATCGGCCCTCTCACCCTACACTTTCACGCTAATAACAATTTCAATTAATTGAGGTTTTTAGTTGAGATAAAAAAGTCAGTATCAAGAGCGGGATTCGAACCCACGATCTTCGGCTTGATACGCCACTGCTCTACCACTTGAGCTATCGGGACCTCGATCCATTCGGAAGTGAAGCTAATAACAATATTCATTCCCAATAAGCACTAAAAACCACAAGGAGTGATACTTATAATGTACTATATACAGTAGTTTCCAACACTGGTTTTCGGCTTTTCTTCACAGACGGGACCGAGGAAGGAATGGCGTGCAGAATGCTTGGCTTCTTCCTCCTCAGTGTAGCGTTTACTCCTTGGTACTGTATGCAATTTGAAGCGCGATTCGAGACGATGGTGTCTCTGCTTACCTGCCTGCACCGACTCTTTACTGCTGTCCGTGGCAAGTCCACCGTTGGCCTTCTCGGCACCTCTTGTTGAAACGTCTCGGCAAATCGGTGGTTGTTGGACACAAGTTTACGCGGTTTACGAAAAACTGGACGAGGAACGTCCCAACCTCGGGACTTAACAACCGCGATCCGGCCCCCTGATGCTAAAAATGCAATAAAAAGATGATTAGAAGAAAGTGGCAACGTTGGTAGGCCGGATCGGCAGAGGAGTTTTCGCGTATCGACCTATCGACCACTGTCGATGTGGCTCTCGGAGGACTGACAGAAGAAAGGTGCTCACCAGATTAAGAAGAGGCCATGCGTGGTTGACAAACGGACACTTACTTTTGCTTTTACCAAAGCCCCCCTATGTGTCCGGCATACAGAGAGAGTCTCGGCTGCGTCTAGCCTGAGTCCGGGCTGCCCCGACTCATTGTTGCGATGAATCTGGTGTGTTGCGGGCTAGCATTTTCAGAATCTTTTGCATCCCATCCGATGTGAGATTCTTTGACTCAATGTTGCGCAACATTTGCCTGTGCGGACATGAATCGGAACAAGCGCTCTTGCTTCATTTGTTTAGTTGACGTTCTAATGAGTATTTTCTTGAAGATTTTGACAGTGTCTTGTCAAGTTGTGGAGTACCGAGTTGACATTACAGTTTATCGAAGACATGCATTCCCATCGGTGTTTGTGGGATGTATCATTCACGGAATACAGAAATCGGGAATTGAAAAGCCAAACATTGAACGGTTTAACCCAAAAATTCAGTGTTTCCGTCGCCGAAATTGAAAATAAAATGCACACTTTAAAATGACAGTTTTTTAATGCACTTCCGATTGGATGCACTATGTACAACGCAAAAAAGAGCAAGGGAAATTCCTGAGAGCTAGTTCCTCCGTCATTTTCGCAGGCACTGATGAATGTTAACTGTATCTTGGTCTGGACACGGTTCTTTGTCGCGGAGCAGAGTCGGGGCTGCATTGCAACAATGAATCTATGCAGCCCGACTCTGCTCTGCAACGAATCGATTCAAAGAATCCCAGTGCGTACTTCGATAAAAGTTGCTCGATATGCCTCACCTAATTGAAGAGTGCAACTCCTTTGCTCCATTTACAGCGCATAGGAATGCCATCCGATGTAAGAATTGTACTGAGCACCGCAGCGAGTATCTGGGTCCCATCCGATTCTTGGAGGAAATAGGGTTGGCATGTTGTTATGGTAGCTTTGTGTTGTTATAGTTAGGCGAATGTATTGGGTGTGTTATGTGAGAAGGCCAATGGCGGAAATTGAGAATCCCATCTACCTACTTCTCTACCCTAACTGAGTGAATGCTTTGTAAATAAATAAGGGTGAATGGTTTAGGAACTGATTATGTTGGGGGTTGAAATGTTCCAGGGGTTGATTGCTGAGCCCAATTGTAAATGAAAGATGTGATACGCGCAACTCTGAACAACGTGGGACAAAACAAGCAAACAAGCACAATTCTCATGTAGGGTGGCATTACATAATCGTTCTCTTTATGGGGCCAAGGAGTGACACCCTTCTATTAAGTGGGATACAGAGTTGCTCGATGTACTTAATTAGCAGTAAAGTAGCAAAACAGACAATGTTTTACTTAATTAATTAGAAATTTAGTATCAGTTGTTCAATTATTGGTTTTGACAAAACTACGACCCCAGGGGGTGCATAAACTTACAAAAATTAAATAATTAAAGTCTTTTGTTTTTGTTTGCTGTGAAGTGCTAAGATTCATCTACATCAACAAAATTAACTCGCTAGTTTCTCATAATCCAACAATAAATTAATTCATGAAATTTTATATTTTAAAAAAGAAAAAATACATCACTTTGTTTTCTAGTATTTGCCTTAACGAATTATATTTTACAGGTTCCTTTATGAATCCTGCCAGTAAAATGAATACACAATTAATTATGTTAACATTTAATATTATTTCATCATTACAATAATGTAATAAATAATTAACTTAAAAAAATTAGAAAAACTTCAGCCTTGGCTCATAGTTTTGAACGATCAATACTCCAGTAGTCATTGTTCGCAAGGGAATTTCGCCAAAAACGTGTTGTTTTATCATTCATATTGGATTTTGATATTTTACATGTTCTCTTCGCTTTCCTCAAAAGTCACAGTTCGTTACCATAATGCGATTGATGCTAATTCCCATCCTCCAGGATGATGCCAGCCTTCAAACACCTTCACTTATTCTTCAGCTCGTTTTTTCTTATAGTGTATAAAAAAATTGGCATTTGTACAAACAGGCAATAACAATAGAGAAATAGTTTACTCTAGAGACAGAAAAACGTCCATTTATTTGATTGTAGGTTTGATGAATGTCAGCTTTGATGATTACAGATGACTGTACAGATTTAAAAAATCTACTTTTATTTTAAATTTAGAAAGTCTTTTATTTGATACGGAAAGAACCAGAAGATTGAAGTGAACCTTGGAGGACAAATGGGGTGGACAAGAATTTGAAACTTCAAAGATTTTTTTAGGTCAAAATCTGTTACGATTGCCAAGAAACTAACTTATTAACTAGTGCGAAACTAGACGTCGACTTTTCCGTCGCATCCAATCATGCCTACCTCATCCTACCTCAAACGTCATCCTCAGATGGCTTGTACCATCCCTTTACCTTCGTTTGATCGTTTCTATCCAATTTGGTCTGACTGTACTCGCTGTTTTGGCCTGACAAACGGTTTTAGCATATTCAGTACTGAGTCTGTGGTTTACCTAGTCCTAAAAATTTTCTGACAGTTTTTTAGGAAGAAGGTTTTCACCGATTGAATTTCATATCGGTGAATCGGTTGGTAGAAATACATTGATTGAATATAAAAAATATATTTTTTGCAATGAATAAATTCACTTTTTTCCACATCCTACATGTTTGTTAAATTTAAACATTGTAAATCCCAGGCCCTGAAGATGATCTCAATACAGATCGAAACGTTGGCACGATAAAGAAAATGCTTTTCTGAAACCTACATTACACCAGACCGCATCTCACGATTTCTGAATAATTAAATTCATAATATTGGCCGTTCCCACCCTTCTTGGTGATTCCACGTCTTTATTAATGTAAAATAGAAGTCTATCTGTCATCTTCATTTCAATATTTTTTAGATTAGTCTAAATAAAAATAAATAAAAGTCATTTGTTATTAGATTCTATTATTTCGTTTTACGACCTTGATGGTCAAAAATTCAACCTACCAGTCATAATAAACTATTGTTTATCCTGTTTGAAAAAAATACAATTAAAGAGTTGTTTTTTTATTTCATGAGAGGGCGTATTTCACCAAAGGCTGTGGCGGTGAAGTTTAGGATGCGTGGGCTTCGTTGACATCCTTTGCCTTTGTTTGATTAGCCCAAAGGGAAGCGAATCAGTGCTTCAAGAAAAGCCCCTTGTTTTTCTTTTACTCTTTCAACTTTGTTGTTAAGAAATGGTATAAAACAAGCCTCGAGACGGAGTAAATATATTTTGAAGGTTGAAAATTAAATAATTCCTTTAAAAAGTATATACAAATTTGAAGCCAAATGTTGCAAAAGAAGTAGAAATTTGCTGTTAAATTAATATGTAAAGTTATCTAAGGTCTTTTTTTTATTTAACCAAGAAAACTTTAAAAAATATT